ACCTTATGCTGTCTTATACAGTCACTTTCAAGCTATTGTTTATAGCCATACTAGAAAAAATCTAAATTAATCACCAGACTCGCTGGAGCTGATTCAAACATTGAAAAAGTAATGGTATAACTCCCTAGTCTAAGTTGATAAATTGTAGAGAAACAGCTCTATTCAACAAAACTAACAGAAAGGACCGAATCAATTTTAACCAAAAAATCAACAACAACAGATTTTCTGCCTTATTGCCTTTTAATCATTTAAACAATATGTATATTTGGATATATACTTTACAAATTACCAAGTCAATATAGTAACCATCCGAAAACACTGGCTTAACAAAGCCCTGTACCGACTAGGTATAGGGAAAGTTGGCTAGCTGAACACGTACATGTACAGCACTGCTACAGTAACATGCATACTTTGTCTGGAAGTATCATGTATTAGATGGAAATCTCGCTTTCTTCCATAAGGAAGCATAGAAAAACCTTTTTTTTCTACTGACGTATGATAACGCCACGGTCAAGAGAAATTAAGGAAGGTTTATTTAATTACAAGGTCCTTTGTTCAGTGTAGCAGTATGCAAGTTGCATCAGTTCATCACACTCTTATTACATAAATATGTCTATAGTTCTCAAAGAGTTAACACAGTATGTAAATACAACGGGTTAAATTGTGACACGGTTTACTCAATTTTAAGAGATATTCTGGGCAAACAAACGTCGTGAATTCTACATTTAAACATGAACAAAGTCCATCTTGTACAAAATATACATGTATAATGATTAGAAGCATATCAATGAAATATGGTGACATTTTTTTCTTATTTAATAATAGATTGATGACTCTGGGACAAGTTTCAAGAATCTCATCAAATGAAACAAAAAAATTACTCAATCAAAAGATATCTTAAGGAAATAATACTTTCTCCAATTATATTGTTCATTCGTTAATGTAGCTCCTTTTCTATGAGACATTCTACAATCCTGTGTCTTCATTAAGACACAATGTTCAATGAGTTTTAAAACACAAGGTCATACAGAAAAAAGCATGACAGCCATACATGGAAATGAAACCATCAATTTGTCAACAAAGACAGCCATTCTTTATTGTAAAATTAAAATGCATGATTTGTTCAGTGTTCATTTTATTACTCCAGCTTCATGTTATAAGGTTATGTTTTTGTTACCATCTATCTAATTAAATACTAGCAGTTTTATGTATGTGGTTAGTGGTGAATAGTGAATTTTAAATGAAATATAGAAATATAATATGATGATGCAATGGTTATCTGTTGTATACAGCTAGGATGTATTACATGATTACAATCTCGGATCTCAGTCACACAATGGATGATATCTCGAAATGACTCTATTCGGCATTGATATTAAGCATGGTGTTTAGCACTGGGTTACAAAGTTGTAAGTCTACAAACAAACATTAATTTCTTCAAATGACACGTAATATAAAGGAAAATGGATCATTTTATTTTGACCATGGTTTAAAGGCTATTAGATATGTTAAGTAAAGCTATAAACATATTAAAGTTATTCATACAATTTTTGGTATAACTGTATAAATTAAATGTTCAAACACCTTCAGCAATGGTTATTTTACAGTTGGCAAGTGACAATCTTTTTTAGATTTCTTGCATTTTTCTTCAACACAGAAAAAGTACCCCGTGTGACATGTCTTACCTGACAGACAAAATAAAAGTTTATGTACACTCTCTAGATAGTCCTCATTTTTTAGTCTCAAATTAATTAAAAGAAATTCAAGGAAGAATGTATGACATCATATAATCATAGATGTATCAAGTATCTTTTGACATTGTCATTTCATAAAAATCAGCTGATCATAATTTGTGTAATGCACATGCAAATCTATAATGCCCATCACTTTGCAACATCTGAACAAACTTTCAGATCACATTCTCATTACAACGTGCTTTGATATCAGTACATTCTTTTTCAATGGGCCACTACTTGTTTTGCAAATGTACAAATAAAGCCTTTGTAATTTTCCAATGTGATGATTACAGTAGAAATATGATCAACTTGATTCTCACCACAGCACAGTTACATCCAATTACAACAGTAGTGATATGCAACCATTTATAAACTGAACAAGTCTGATTGAGCAGATTCTACAGTAAATAAAAGATGTTCTGAGCATTTATCTGTGATTTTAATTATTCTACTGAGCAGGTATAAATCAAATGTAGTTGTCATGTATCTGCTTTTGAGACTAGTCCTTTAGAGCTTGTGAGACAGGAGCAATCAGTGATAGACTATGGTAGAGGAGGCAAAATTTACACTGGTCAAGGGAAAATAAAGAATTCTTGGATCTTATTGTAATACAATACACTTTTAATTCATCTCCGTTACAAAATGGAGAACTACTAAGTAATTAATTTTAATTTCTTTCCCAGAAATATGCCACAGAACAGTGTACTTGACCTATGACCTATGACCTCACTAATGTACCTATAGATGTAAACAGGGAAAGAAAAAATAAGACATTGTTAGCATGAATGTCATGCATGTACTGGGAGTTGGAATGGAAAAGACAAAAAACACAGGTAGAAGTGTTAGACCATGTCATTACCATAACAGCATGTTTAATTAAGGGTTAATCGACCGATGAAAACAGGATATATCAAGCAGCCAATCGGAACAGTTCACAATTAATAGCCAATGGAAGCAAAGCAGTTCAAATGCATTAGCCAATGGCCATGGGTTAATCGTACATCCATTGTTTACCAATAGCCAATAGTAATAACTGGTTATTGAATTGATTTATATACTACAGTACACTGAGTGAATTTATCTACATGTAATACATAGCTGATTATATAGACGTATGAAATTAATCATTTATATAAAAACATATCCAAGAATATGATCATAAATGTCTTTCAAATTTCCAAAGACCCGAAGACATGTGTTAGAACTTTTCTGAAATTAAAGCAAAAAAATGTTTCAAACATAACAAAAAAATGCTAATATATGAACCTTTCTACACCAATGAAATAGCTAAAAGGTTTATAACTCATTTGTATGTTTGAGGGATGGACTTTGAGTGAACAAAAATAACCAAAATATTTCCCAATATGTTAAACTACACAATGGATATTATGATCAATAAATGTAATAAAGAAGTGAATTATAAGGTACACATATCACAGTGGTAAAAAATGTATAGATATCAAAATGAATATATATATACAGCACTTAGGTAAAACTGTAACACAGCTATTTAACAGGAATGTCTGGTTAATATTGAACACTTCATTGCTTTGAGGAATGTACAAACATACTGATTCATGTCTAATTCTATATAAATATTAAAAGAGTGCTGAAAGTTCAATAATTAATTGATCAACGTTTGATCAAAAAGAATGAATTGAACATTGATGATTTTTCCACCTTAGACCAGCTCTGATGGAACAAGGTTTGTGAATTTAAATAGAGTCTGTTTGCTTATGATCTACCATTGAACAATTCCTATATCATTACAACAGCCTAATTCTATTTTCTCAGAGAAGTTTAAGAGGTGTTAAATTTCGACCTAAATGTGTTCACACTAGATAACAATTATTTGTTTAGGATTAAAGATTAGTCGGACATTAAGACTTGATAAATGGGACTAATCTGCTGGTACGAGTATGGTTTATATTGAATCTATAAATATTATCTAGCCCTATAGTAGTTTTATCATCAAAACCTCGTATCGATTAATCTGAACATATATTATATAAATGGCAACCAAATCCTACACTATTACAAAAATGACAGGTTTTTATATGTTTATCTATTGATTTCATTACTGAAGCCGAAGTTAACTGTCACACCCTGGTTGGATAATTGAGACTGAAAAAATAGCTTCTCAATACAATAGTCAAGATTTTATATAGGTTTTCAATAAAAAATATATCTCCAGGTTGATTACAATTTATATCTATATACAGATTAAACAGCATTAAATTTTTTATTATCCTTGTATGTTAAGATAAACATTAAGATGAACATTACAAAAAGACGGGACTACTGCTGTAAATGGATTCTGGTTTTTTTTTATGTATTGCATAGACATACACGGGTAAGTAGACTTCAATAACAAGAAGTGAATCTTCACTCGTTACACTTCCACTCCAGGTAACAATGCTAATCAACATCCCTACTGGTAACAATGGTTATATTTTCAAAGGTAACTTCACTAGTAACCATGGTAACAACTCTAGAGGTAACCATGGTGAAATCTTCACTGGTAACCATGGTAAAATCTTTACTGGTAAAATTGATTACATCTTCACTGGTAACCAATATTTTCCCTGGTTACAATGCTAATATATCAGCAACCATAGCAAGACCTCACTGAGAATCCTGTTAACATCTCTACTAGCCACCATCTTCTTGGTAACCATTGGAACATTTTCACTTTTCAAACAGTAACCATAGCTACCTGTGTTTAAGGCTATAACATTCAACAGCCAATGGCAGGTTTTTTCCTTCAGTTCCTTTGTACATGTTAGTACTTGACCTTGGTTACCATAAGTTAAATAAACCCTATCAATCTTACATTGCCACAACCAAGTATTATATATAACATATGTCGCTTACAATCCTGTAAAGTGCATATTTATGCTTTGTTTATAATTAGGTTAAGTGGAATATTGAACCCAATATCAACAACAGATTTTTATAATTATGTTACATATGTCGTGCAAGAATTACCTTATACATATAAATAAAAATAGTTCTTACAATATGAAAGGGGACTAAAGAAGTTTTTTTATATATTTTCTCTTCCATACTCATGACTCCAAACTTAACAAAAAGATGAGGTTCTTCCGATTTTGAGATTGGACTGCTATAAAAACACTGAAAATCTGTAGACACACATTTCAGTGACACCAGTATCAGCAAATGTTCTTCATATTTCCTTCACCAATAAAAGCTTTGCTGGTTTGTTTTTCAGTCTTGAATTAGAATTGTTAACACTGATTTCATTTAGTGTCGTGAAGGTCTTTGCCGGTTCATACTTGTCAACATCAAGCTGATGTATGAGGTCAAAAGGTCATCCATCTTGTATCCCTGAAAAATAATTAAAAACAACATGAACAGTAGCACATATTGACTTCTTCTTACCTGTTTTAAACACTCTTTTACAAAGGTTTTCTTCATCTTCAGACAGATTCTCCATATTGTCTAGTGAAAGAAAAGCTTCCAGAAGCAAATCTGGACTAGCTCTTATTAAATCAGTCCTGACCCTTGTCTAAGTCTTACTGGAGAATAAAACAGGTAATGTCCTGACCCTTGTTTAAGTCTTACTGCAGAATAAAAGAGGTAATGTCCTGACCCTGTCTAAGTCTTACTGCAGAATAAAACAGGTAATGTCCTGACCCTGTCTAAGTCTTACTGGAGAATAAAACAGGTAATGTCCTGACCCTGTTTAAGTCTTACTGCAGAATAAAACAGGTAATGTCCTGACCCTGTCTAAGTCTTACTGCAGAATAAAACAGGTAATGTCCTGACCCTGTCTAAGTCTTACTGCAGAATAAAAGAGGTAATGTCCTGACCCTGTCTAAGTCTTACTGGAGAATAAAACAGGTAATGTCCTGACCCTGTCTAAGTCTTACTGGAGAATAAAACAGGTAATGTCCTGACCCTGTTTAAGTCTTACTGCAGAATAAAAGAGGTAATGTCCTGACCCTGTCTAAGTCTTACTGCAGAATAAAACAGGTAATGTCCTGACCCTGTCTAAGTCTTACTGCAGAATAAAACAGGTAATGTCCTGACCCTGTCTAAGTCTTACTGCAGAATAAAACAGGTAATGTCCTGACCCTGTCTAAGTCTTACTGCAGAATAAAACAGGTAATGTCCTGACCCTGTTTAAGTCTTACTGCAGAATAAAACAGGTAATGTCCTGACCCTGTCTAAGTCTTACTGCAGAATAAAACAGGTAATGTCCTGACCCTGTCTAAGTCTTACTGCAGAATAAAACAGGTAATGTCCAGGTCCTGTCTAAGTCTTACTGCAGAATAAAACAGGTAATGTCCTGACCCTGTCTAAGTCTTACTGCAGAATAAAAGAGGTAATGTCCTGACCCTGTCTAAGTCTTACTGCAGAATAAAACAGGTAATGTCCTGACCCTGTTTAAGTCTTACTGCAGAATAAAACAGGTAATGTCCTGACCCTGTCTAAGTCTTACTGCAGAATAAAACAGGTAATGTCCTGACCCTGTCTAAGTCTTACTGCAGAATAAAAGAGGTAATGTCCTGACCCTGTCTAAGTCTTACTGGAGAATAAAACAGGTAATGTCCTGACCCTGTCTAAGTCTTACTGGAGAATAAAACAGGTAATGTCCTGACCCTGTCTAAGTCTTACTGCAGAATAAAAGAGGTAATGTCCTGACCCTGTCTAAGTCTTACTGGAGAATAAAAGAGGTAATGTCCTGACCCTGTCTAAGTCTTACTGCAGAATAAAACAGGTAATGTCCTGACCCTGTCTAAGTCTTACTGCAGAATAAAACAGGTAATGTCCTGACCCTGTCTAAGTCTTACTGGAGAATAAAAGAGGTAATGTCCTGACCCTGTCTAAGTCTTACTGGAGAATAAAAGAGGTAATGTCCTGACCCTGTCTAAGTCTTACTGGAGAATAAAACAGGTAATGTCCTGACCCTGTCTAAGTCTTACTGGAGAATAAAACAGGTAATGTCCTGACCCTGTCTAAGTCTTACTGCAGAATAAAACAGGTAATGTCCTGACCCTGTCTCTTACTGCAGAATAAAACAGGTAATGTCCTGACCCTGTCTAAGTCTTACTGCAGAATAAAAGAGGTAATGTCCTGACCCTGTCTAAGTCTTACTGCAGAATAAAACAGGTAATGTCCTGACCCTGTCTAAGTCTTACTGCAGAATAAAACAGGTAATGTCCTGACCCTGTCTAAGTCTTACTGGAGAATAAAACAGGTAATGTCCTGACCCTGTCTAAGTCTTACTGCAGAATAAAAGAGGTAATGTCCTGACCCTGTCTAAGTCTTACTGGAGAATAAAACAGGTAATGTCCTGACCCTGTCTAAGTCTTACTGCAGAATAAAACAGGTAATGTCCTGACCCTGTCTAAGTCTTACTGCAGAATAAAACAGGTAATGTCCTGACCCTGTCTAAGTCTTACTGGAGAATAAAACAGGTAATGTCCTGACCCTGTCTAAGTCTTACTGCAGAATAAAACAGGTAATGTCCTGACCCTGTCTAAGTCTTACTGCAGAATAAAAGAGGTAATGTCCTGACCCTGTCTAAGTCTTACTGCAGAATAAAACAGGTAATGTCCAGGTCCTGTCTAAGTCTTACTGCAGAATAAAACAGGTAATGTCCTGACCCTGTCTAACAGAATAAAACAGGTAATGTCCTGACCCTGTCTCTTACTGCAGAATAAAAGAGGTAATGTCCTGACCCTGTCTAAGTCTTACTGCAGAATAAAACAGGTAATGTCCTGACCCTGTCTAAGTCTTACTGCAGAATAAAACAGGTAATGTCCTGACCCTGTCTAAGTCTTGCTGCAGAATAAAACAGGTAATGTCCTGACCCTGTCTAAGTCTTACTGGAGAATAAAACCAGTAATGTCCTGACCCTGTCTAAGTCTTACTGCAGAATAAAACAGGTAATGTCCTGACCCTGTCTAAGTCTTACTGCAGAATAAAACAGGTAATGTCCTGACGCTGTCTAAGTCTTACTGCAGAATAAAACAGGTAATGTCCTGACCCTGTCTAAGTCTTACTGCAGAATAAAAGAGGTAATGTCCTGACCCTGTCTAAGTCTTACTGCAGAATAAAACAGGTAATGTCCTGACCCTGTTTAAGTCTTACTGCAGAATAAAACAGGTAATGTCCTGACCCTGTCTAAGTCTTACTGCAGAATTAAAAAGGGTTAATTCCGGTTATTATGTTATTGAAAGTTTAAAGCTCTGGCTCCAGGATGTGTTGAAGGAAATCATAGATTTTTAATTGCCCAATATTTTGAATTAGTTATATATTGTTAAAGTTCTAGAATGTATCTTACCAGCGATGTTTCACATAGGAGCTTGCTCCCGCGAACCAGGTTTCCGATGGTCATATGGAAGTAGGTATTTCCACTGCTCCAGTTGGATATCTTAGTAAATGGGTGTGTCGCCAGAATATCCTATAAAAATGATGTACCTCCTTCTTAGATATCATTAATCATTATTAACAAAGATCAGACTGTGGCATCAACAGTCCTATCTAAAACAAACCATTAAGGTGTGTGTAGCACACACTACAGTTTAAATATCACCTACTGGAAAATAAACAGCTTGTTTGGTGAATGTTGCACAACATTTTTATTGCGTATTTCTCATTTTCCACTCACAATCTATATTAACATTGATTGTGATGTGATAAAAACATTATTAAAAACACAATATCTTTAGTAAATTTTTGCAGTTATTTTGATATGTATTTCTAATGGCTTAGAGCCATTTTTGCTTATCATTTGCATGAATGGATCTGAGTTGTGATGTCATAACAATACAGACTCATATTTAAGAGACAATAATTTGAGCACATTATTTTTACTGTTGAGTATTGGGTTGCTATGGTCATTTCTATCTGTCTGATTAATTGGACCAGAATTATTTGTTTTTGAAATGTAGAGGAATTTACATATCTGATTTTGCTTTCTGACCAGTTTCAAATACTACTTGGACGTTTGCCTGATTTCTGCCTGAAATATTGCACTACAAAGTGCTGATAGACCAGTTTGTTCCCGTAAGTGAACAGGCCTTTGATGAAAGCTGCATTTGATCTAAGCGTACAGATCAAATTTATCAACTGCCATTTTGAAATCTCTGTGATTAATCGACATAATGTGAAAATGTCTAAATCTTTGAGAAGATATGATTAATCCTGTATGTCATTCCATTTAAATCAGTAATTTTCTATCGGAGTGTATCATTCTCCTTGTTAATTTATGTCCTTGTCATCTTGTACCTGTCACTTTGAATTTTTGAAATGCCTTTACAAAAAATTTCAGAACAATTTCTTCATGTTGGTAATGTAAGTAGAATGAAAGTGCTTATAACACAACCAGCAGAGGAACAGTGTGACGTTTCAATGATTACACGTTCACCTTCATCTTATAATATAAGCAGAAGAAGATCAGAGTGTGACGTTTCGATGACTACATGGTCACCTCCATCAGACAAATGTCCACTGTAGAGCGTACTTGCTCTGACATACATAGTGTATGATATAGTAAGGAATCAACGAACGTTTTTTCAGCTTTACTACAATTCTGTGTAGACCCCAGAAAGAAAAAGGTGTAAAAAGGTTATGTAAAATGTTATTCATTGACTTACAATTGTCCATGCTAAACTTGTACTTAAAATTTTGTAGCTGTATCATGACCATGTTTGTCTGTCTCAAAACAACATCATCTCACCATAGTTAATCATGCATATTAATGAAAGTCAAGCTTACAAGAAGCTTAAATATCAACTTTTCTCAGCAAGCTTTACAATGATAATGATGACAGATGATTAAAACCTTCTGAGACAGTTAAAAAGACATGTTTCTAGTTAAGGGATCATTGCTTTTATCAGACACACTGTACCTTGGTTTGCTGGTTGATAAGGTTGACTCCATTCTTGTTGATCGCTATTAGCAGTGTATCAGGATATGTTGGCTCTGTGGCTTGCTGTATCCCAGAGATTAAAACAACAAAAATGTCAGGTATATAAAACTGTAAAGTTAGGTACCTATCCTCATAAAACGGATTAGAATGATACCTTTTATCATCTTTTAACTCATTTTTTAGATTTTGATATTCTAACCATACATTTTATCATCTCATAACTCATTTTTTAGATTTTGATATTCTAACCATACTCTAAATGAGTCAGAATCTTAAAAATGAGTTATTAGATGCTAAAATGTATTATTCTAATCCATTTTCCAATATTAAGACAATAATTTGAATGGACATATCCTTAAATTTAAGTTGGAAGACAAATGAAAGTACAATTTAAAATCTCAAATTAATTAGGAAAATTTCCACCAAAATTGATTGTGATGAGGTCACATTTCATTTCAATGTATGTTCAGTATTTTATGGAGGATTGATAGAATTACAGAAATCATCTCAATGACACAAACCTTCACTTCAAAGAACGCTGATCCAAATGTAGGCCATTTGTAAATAATTTTAAGGAATTCTACTTTGGGGTCATCGATACCTTTCTGTGAATCACGATTGTAGTAGTTCACTATAGCCTGTAAACAAAAAAAAGTCATGGTTTATCATGTCATACAACCCTGTTCTGATTCCTATGGCTTGACTGGGTTATCATGTCCCACAAACAAGTTCCGATTCCTATGGCTTGACTGGGTTATCATGTCATACAACCCTGTTCTGATTCCTATGACTTGACTGGGTTATCATACAACCCTGTTCTGATTCCTATGGCTTGACTGGGTTATCATACAACCTTGTTCTGATTCCTATGGCTTGACTGGGTTATCATACAATCTTGTTCTGATCCCTATGGCTTGACTTGGTTATCATACAATCTTGTTCTGATTCCTATGGCTTGACTGGGTTATCATGTCATACAATCTTGTTCTGATTCCTATGGTTTGACTGGGTTATCATACAATCTTGTTCTGATTCCTATGACTTGACTGGGTTATCATACAACCTTGTTCTGATCCCTATGGCTTGACTGGGTTATCATACAATCTTGTTCTGATTCCTATGGCTTGACTGGGTGGGTTATCATACAATCTTGTTCTGATTCCTATGGCTTGACTGGGTTATCATACAATCTTGTTCTGATCCCTATGGCTTGACTGGGTTATCATACAATCTTGTTCTGATTCCTATGGCTTGACTGGGTTATCATACAATCTTGTTCTGATTCCTATGGTTTGACTGGGTTATCATACAATCTTGTTCTGATCCCTATGGCTTGACTGGGTTATCATACAATCTTGTTCTGATTCCTATGGCTTGACTGGGTTATCATACAATCTTGTTCTGATCCCTATGGCTTGACTGGGTTATCATACAATCTTGTTCTGATCCCTATGGCTTGACTGGGTTATCATACAATCTTGTTCTGATTCCTATGGCTTGACTGGGTTATCATACAATCTTGTTCTGATCCCTATGGCTTGACTGGGTTATCATACAATCTTGTTCTGATCCCTATGGCTTGACTGGGTTATCATACAATCTTGTTCTGATCCCTATGGCTTGACTGGGTTATCATACAATCTTGTTCTGATTCCTATGACTTGACTGGGACTGGGTTATCATACAATCTTGTTCTGATTCCTATGACTTGACTGGGTTATCATACAATCTTGTTCTGATTCCTATGGCTTGACTGGGTTATCATACAATCTTGTTCTGATTCCTATGGCTTGACTGGGTTATCATACAATCTTGTTCTGATTCCTATGGCTTGACTGGGTTATCATACAACCTTGTTCTGATCCCTATGACTTGACTGGGTTATCATACAATCTTGTTCTGATTCCTATGGCTTGACTGGGTTATCATACAATCTTGTTCTGATTCCTATGGCTTGACTGGGTTATCATACAACCTTGTTCTGATTCCTATGGCCTGACAATTATGTTTCCCTGTCTTTTCACAACAATAATGTGTGGTTCTGATTATTGCTTTAATTAGAAAATTAATTTCTAGTACTCTGTAGTACATTTTGCGGCAATATTTAATGTGAAATGCATCTATTTGAAATAGTGTTTAAAATAATCACAATTTGCTTATTTTTCACCAGGTTGTAGAGATAATTGGTGTTAAGACGAACGGAAAAGTCAAATACTGACATTAAATTGGATCTGCAGGGTAGCAATGCAGGTGTCAAGAAACCACTTTCTTTAATATTAATGGACTTTCAACATTTTATTTTATTTTTTTGCAATGATATAAAATATTAATTAAGCCTTCAGTGTCTGATTAGTATCTTACCCTCTTCCAGTCCTCAGGTGATTGAACACGTAATAAATCTGATGGTATCAACTCTCGCAGCATACGTCTGTAAAATACCAGTACATAGTCAAGGATTGAATAAACAAAACAAGGTTAGCAGCATACGTCTGTAAAATACCAGTACATAGTCAAGGATTGAAAAGACAAAACAAGGTTCGCAGCATACGTCTGTAAATACCAATACATAGTCAAGGATTGAAAAAACAAAGCAAGGTTCGCAGCATACGTCTGTAAATACCAGTACATGGTCAAGGATTGAAAAAACAAAACAAGGTTCGCAGCATACGTCTGTAAATACCAGTACATAGTCAAGGATTGAAAAAACAAAACAAGGTTCGCAGCATACGTCTGTAAATACTGAAAAAACAAAACAAGGTTCGCAGCATACGTCTGTACATACCAGTACATAGTCAAGGATTGAAAAAAAACAAGGCTCGCAGCATACGTCTGTTAAAAACCAGTACATAGTCAAGGATTGAAAAAAAAACAAGGCTTGCAGTATACGTCTGTAAAAAACCAGTACATAGCCATGGATTGAAAAAAAAACAAGGCAAGCAGCATACGTCTGTAAATACCAATACATTGTCAAGGATTAAAAAAAAATGGTACGAAGTTTATCAAAATTCAGGGTATATAAAATACACTAGAGAAATTAACACTGTGATCATATATATATTGTCTTCTTTTGTAATCTAAAAAATCTATACAAGAGTACTGCCAACAGTACCACAGCTCACCTCACATCATTCATCACTAAACCTCAATCTAGCATGACGAGGGTGGGGGTTTCACCAACTAGAATCTTAGATACTGATATTTAAACAGCAAATAATATATTTGAACACTGGTACCAAAAACTTGACATTAGATTCAATACAAAAAAATTAACGTCCAAAATGTTTTTAAAAAAATTCTCAAAAATCATTTCTAAAGACTTCTGGAAGTAAAAAATTACTCCCACAGAAACCCTCAAACCAAATATCAGTCCCTTAGTAAAGTTACAAAGGAAATTACTGATGCCTTTCAACACTTCCACTAAAAATTGAGCATCAGACATGACAATCAACATCGACATCAACAACACCACTGACAATTCTAGGCTGACAACATAAGCTGCCTTTCTCTTCAAGACGTCAGTTAAAAATCTGCTGTCGAAGGTCACATTATTTGGTGTTCCTACTGCTCTTGTCCTTACTTTATCTCTAAAACAATAAAACTCCATCTCTAGGAATGAAAATGTTACTTACGGGATGTTTGTCAGAGCACTCTTGTTGTCTCCCATCTTGACCCTGTATATGAGGGCTGCCATTTGAGCTGCCTCATCTTTACTACACTTGTGATAGCCTCGTAGCAGCTTAGGTAGCTCCTGAAAACACCAAGAAACTTATTTATAAATAATTGTTCTTTATATGTTTCACTCAACCTAACGTAAGTGAAGTAATTAATGATCAGAAGAAATGGTATGTCAATCACCTGTTGATTGTGGAATATTTCATCAACGACGCCATCATAATGACAACAAATAAAACTTTTATAGAGAGACAAATTTTCAGTGATTAGAACATACCTGGTGATAATGGAATATCCGATCAGCCTGGATATCTCGACCTGGCATTGTGTTACTCCACAACTTCTTCATGAAGAACACCTGGTACGTGAACTGGGGCACTGTGTCTGTTAGGACAAGGTTGAATAGAAATTAACAACTAACTAGGATTAAGGACAATAAGCAGGATTGTAAGAATTTTATTTTGAGGATCTTAAACTGATTGAATTCAGCTGAAGGAAAAAACTAAGGGCTGCCATCTAATATTGTAGTCATTTGAAGTTTACCTGTTTCTATCATAAAAAAGACTTCCAGAGCACTCACCTGTTCTCAGTACAATGTTTATACACTGCTAGTAAATTGTTTAAACATCTTTATTACAATAACTGTACATCTCCACTGACAGAGTCACAAGTACCATAATTAATATGTGCCAGTGCTTGCTAATGCTAGCCAACTTTACTCCATTACTCACTGTCTCGGCTGGGTCTTGCTTTCCTAATCCAATCAGTCAAATGTCGCACAAAGTCAAAGAAAAAGTCTCCTTCTGGCACACTTATCACTGAAAATCAAATAATTCACCTCATCAAAGATTAATTCATCTAAAACAAAGACAAATTTTACTATCTGTTTAAATATAACTTAATCCAAAACGAAACAATTTCTAGGAAACAACATACAAAGCACAAAAATAAAAGAACTCAAAGAATTACAATTTTAAACTGAGAACAGAAAGTAATGCTATAAAATCCATGAAAATATTATACATAATTCATATCTATTGAGAATAATTATCATTGAGGTAGGGGAAAATTTTGTAGTAAAAAAACCTTAATGACAGATAATAGCTGCTTAAAATGAAAACATAATGAACTATTTGAGGACATCCTTTGACAGAATGACCAATCAACATTACCTGTGTAATGATACTAAATGGCCCAAAAAATGAAATACAACATGGTGTGAGCTTAGCTTCAACAAGGGAGATAACTCTGCTCACCCCATCAAGTCAAATTTTTACCTTTGTCAACAATTTTCACAAATAAGCTGAAGCCTTCAGATGATTTCAGTCTTAATTTGCTGGCAATGTTTTGACAGAAATCCTTTGCTCTGGTGCTAGATTCCACTTCAAAGGCCTGAAAATACATTTAATGAGTTACATCTTAGTTTCACAAATATCAGTATAATCACCATTATACTGCCAAATCTGTAGGTTTTTCAAGGTTACAAGAATATCCCATTTAAACCAACACATTTTCTAAACAAGAGAATTTCTCTTTGCAAACCTGAGTGGTTAAATTTCCAAATACATTAAGTCACTGTGTAAAAGAAAATCAAACAAAGATACCACGTTATGGTTTTCTTGTATGAACTGTAGGTTTTTATCTTATTGTAAATCTAAAGGTTGCCAAGTATTAATGATGCAGCAGTATACCGAACATGCTTACCTCATCCGAGTCGTCAGGGAAGTAGACTTTGTGTAGGATTTGTGTGGTCTTGTGCTGTATGGCCTCTACCTCTACCTGATGTGGGGCGTATTTCCTAGTTCCATTCCTGTTAAGCACCAAAATACATCAGATTACAAATTAATACTGGTCTTCAATCCTGTCACCAAAAATCTAACACAACACTATCACGCTCATAAGCATTGTTGCCGACTGCTAAGTACCAGAAACAAATGAGGGCCATTTCAAAAGCATATTATTTCATCTAGAGTGTTTCCAAATTGGAAGACTTTAACACTCTGTAAATTATACAAAGGTAAGAAATGACTGCATCCTTCTACATCAGGTACTCAGTGCTAAACCTGCTGCCATCAAGTGGGATTCATAATACTGGTGAGTGTATATTACCTAATTTAGCTGACATAACAGTGTAAAATGGTTTACATGTTGTATGTAGTGTTGTAGAAACTAAATGCTGGATATAGCTCTTGACTGTATTAAATATACAACTACTTTTGTCTGATGAATTTGCAAAAGTTGTCAAATATGACCTTTGAACTTTTAATCTTAGACTTATGACACTCTTGATAATGAGGAAGTGTAGAACATGTTATGAAATAAATATAAATATGATTCAAATCTGCAGATAGGTTCTCCACATAACACATTAATAGGAAAAAGTGACATCTCGTCTCTCCTTAAAAATGGATCGAAAATATAATTGACGAATTTTACATAATTAAAGAAATAATATGGCTAATGTAACTAAAATGACAACACAGGTGCTGTAATGTCTTGACTTCATACATCCTGACATAATTACTGGAATGTAACATTTTCCTTATCGTCAGTGTGTTAGCATACCTTAGTGTCTTTTGTACTCTGCTGATACAATCCGTTGCGATGTGGCTACGACTTGACCTGAGGAACTGCATGACCTCCTTCAGTAGATTGGTACTGGGGACAAAACATCCTGTGGCTAACCACATGAGTTCCCAGCCTCTTCTGTCACTTGTACTGTAAGACAGAGTTTATATACACTGATTATTTTTTGAAAACTTAAAAAAATTCACATCATCATTTGATCATATGTATTTGTGGAATTGGAGTACAATTGTACCATATCTATCCTGAAGTAAGCCCAGCTACAAATATACAAAGTGTTACTTATAGTAACTGTCTGATTAATAGATGTAAGTGGGCTTATTAAAGGACCTATCTGATTGATAGACATTTGTGTGCTTATTACAGGGCCTATCTAATTAACAGATATTAGTGGTCTTATTATTAGACATGGACTAAATGCAAGATAACTATGGTAATTTCTATAAGTAACAACTGCTTCATACAAAACACTATGCATGTCGAGATAATAATCATTAGATGACTATCCAACTAAACAGCAGAGTACTATGTAAACATGTGACTAGGAAATCTCACATTGATAATTCAATTTTAAATCACCCAGTATCAAAACTTAATTCTAAATTAGAAAATAAAAACAATCTTTAAAATCAGAGTATATACTATTATATATCAATGCTGAACCCCTCTGTTCAAAAATTATCATTTCCAATTAAACTTTGGTGAGACACTATAAAATGGGACATGTTCAACAAAACTTACTCATTTCTGTTGTGAGTGAGCTGTTTTATCATTTGGCAATACACTTCATCCCGGAGAAGTTCCTGAAATAGTGAAACAGGAGAGGCTGTGGGATTAGACTCCAGACAAGGTTAAATGATGATACAACAGGGTTAATGTAAAACATCGTAGGCACTTCATTAATCAATATCTTAAATTAGAATAAACAATAACAATTACTCTGGGGTTAGAAAAAAGTTTATAATTAGAAATCAACACATAAGTCTGTACTTTTCCTGTTAATTAAAATACAACTGGTACATATTAATGTAGCATCACTTACTGTATTATTTATGTAATGCATAAAATGTTCAGTGTGAGGACAAAAATGTGAGAGATGAATGGCCACTTTTAGGAATTACAAAATTTATACAATTTTCATTTTGCACAAGATTATACAACTAAAATTTTGCAGTGGACAATGTAATTTACAATTCGTAGTGGACCATATAACTTACATTTCGTAGAGGAGGTTCATAGATTTGATCTGTCAGTTCATTAGCAGTACGTCCTCGTTTTGATGGGTGGTCACCCATGTATTTTAGGATAGGTAAACAAAGTTAAGGAAATCTTCCAGTCTGCCATGAACATGTAATTCTGATATCTATTTCATACAATAAACCTTTCATATAAACTAAATGTCCATTTCCGTAAAATATGGTCCATTTACTGGGTCAACTGTCAATCATACAGAATGCATGTGATTGTTCCTCTGTTTCACTTTCAAAGTGGAAAATATACACAGTATATTATATCTATGTTTTCATTACAAAATTTGCTGCAGATTCTGCCTAAAATGCTTTAGTGTATACAGTACACTAAAGTATGTTTATGCTTTGGTACAAATTGAAGTCAAATGTAAATATCTAAAGTATCATTGTAATATGGAACTATACAGGTATGATTTTATTTTGAACAATATCTACAGGTGATGGAGGGATTTAGCCTGAAAAACATTCTATTGTAATATACAAAAGGATATCTAAATAACACATGCATGCCTCCTGGCACAACTCTTCCTTGCCCAGCAGTTTCTTAAGCAGTGGTTGTTTGAGTGGTTCTTTGGAATGTCTCCACAGGTCGTCAGTGCGTCTTTTGCGTGCTGTTGACAGGGTCTTTGACAGGGTACGTTTGGGAGGAGGTCTGAAAGCAAAAAAAGTATGTACAGTAAGTCATATTGGTCAACCATACCTTATTAAACAATCTCACATATCATATCAAGGTTAACAACAAGGACAGGATCCTTCTAACAATTCTGTAATTAGTGTTATAGGTGACTGAGCATCCATGTTTGCGATATACACATGCAATGTAGATATGAAAACATTGTGTACACCTGTAGTCTGTACACCTGTAGTCCGTACATGGTGTACACCTGTAGTCTGTACATGGTGTAGTCTGTACATGGTGTACACCTGTAGTCTGTACATGGTGTACACCTGTAGTCTGTACATGGTGTACACCTGTAGTCTGTACACTGTAGTCTGTACACCTGTAGTTTGTACATGGTGTACACCTGTAGTCTGTACACCTGTAGTCTGTACATGGTGTACACCTGTAGTCTGTACACCTGTAGTCTGTACATGGTGTACACCTGTAGTCTGTACATCGTGTACACCTGTAGTCTGTACACCTGTAGTCTGTACACCTGTAGTCTGTACATCGTGTACACCTGTAGTCTGTACACCTGTAGTCTGTACATGGTGTACACCTGTAGTCTGTACACCTGTAGTCTGTACATGGTGTACACCTGTAGTCTGTACATGGTGTACACCTGTAGTCTGTACATGGTGTACACCTGTAGTCTGTACACCTGTAGTCTGTACATGGTGTACACCTGTAGTCTGTACACCTGTAGTCTGTACATGGTGTATACCTGTAGTCTGTACCTAATGTATGACGTGTACCTGAAATGATCAAAGGAGTAGTGTTCTAGTGTGTAGGGTACATCATTTCCTTGATCTGGCATGGTCTCCATCTGAGATGGTGCTAGCATCTTGTCTGCTTGCTCCCCAGATTGAAGGAACAGATTCTGGAACAATGCAATATGTATAAATACTTGTACACATCTCAACTCTTGAAAAGAACAACACAGCAAGATATAGAGGCAGCGTAAGGTGGTAGATAAGGATATTATGTCAAGTTTTAATTCCAAAATCTTTTTACCAATATTTTGTTAGGTTTATTTATGCTTAGTTTTTATATGATATTTCTTATTGTCACTTAGTCTAATTCTGAAAGTTTCACACTTGAAGGGTTCAGGTAGAAAGATAGTGAATACTGGAGAAATGTTGCCCATTTAATGGTGATACTGAATCTTCCATGTGTTACTTGTATCAAGACATACCAATATTTCTGGCGGCGGTTTGTTGATTGTTGGTAGTACATAGACACACTCTGCCGGGAAATCACCTTTGACACCAGTGCGTACATTTTCTCCAACACACCAGCCAGAGTTCATAACGGTCTCCCCATTCTGCTGGTCCAGCACGATCAGGTCACCCTTTGAGAAGTCCAGGAAGGATGGTCCATCACCTTTAACATGTAAATCCTCACGATGATTTTACACAACATATCACAAAATCTGTAAGACATTAATGCCTACACTTCAATGCATATAAATACATTTTCTGATGAATTTACAGGAGTTGTCGCTTTAACCTTGACCAATGGCTATCTTGATACAATACGTACAGAACTTCAAACTAGGGTACTGTGGACAGTAAATATGAACCAAAATGTGTGAGAGGTTCTCAAGATAAAACACTGATTGGGAACGCGACACAGTACACAAACATTAGTAAAACTATATAATCAGCCGACCCCACCCTCTCCCCTCTGAAATAGCAAGAGCATAAAAAAGGATTACAACAATTTAGACCTCACAATGGACTGTAGGATACAAAGACCAGCCAAATTAAATAAATATGCCATAATTATATCATTACACATAACAGTTTAACACTTGTCAAAGGCATCATACAAAAGCATATCAACAAAGTCTGTATTTCAGCATTCAGCCTCTACAATCTGTCAGAATCCTATCCAAAAAGCTTCTACAATCTGTCAGAATCCTATCCAAAAAGCTTCTACAATCAGTCTGCAGCCTATAAAAAAAGCATCTACAATCAGTTTATGGTTTATTTGAAACAGCCTCTATGTTCTGTCCAGTATCTAATAAATAGCCTCTATATTCTGTCTAGTATCTAATAAACAGCCTCTATATTCTGTCTAGTATCTAATAAATAGCCTCTATATTCTGTCCAGTATCTAATAAACAGCCTCTATATTCTGTCCAGTATCTAATAAACAGCCTCTATATTCTGTCTAGTATCTAATAAATAGCCTCTATATTCTGTCCAGTATCTAATAAATAGCCTCTATATTCTGTCCAGTATCTAATAAACAGCCTCTATATTCTGTCCAGTATCTAATAAACAGCCTCTATATTCTATCTAGTATCTAATAAACAGCCTCTATATTCTGTCCAGTATCTAATAAACAGCTTCTATGTTCTGTCCAGTATCTAATAAACAGCCTCTATATTCTGTCTAGTATCTAATAAACAGCCTCTATATTCTGTCTAGTATCTAATAAATAGCCTCTATATTCTGTCCAGTATCTAATAAATAGCCTCTATATTCTGTCTAGTATCTAATAAACAGCCTCTATATTCTGTCTAGTATCTAATAAATAGCCTCTATATTCTGTCTAATATCTAATAAACAGCCTCTATATTCTGTCCAGTATCTAATAAATAGCCTCTATATTCTGTCTAGTATCTAATAAACAGCCTCTATATTCTGTCTAGTATCTAATAAATAGCCTCTATATTCTGTCTAGTATCTAATAAACAGCCTCTATATTCTGTCTAGTATCTAATAAACAGCCTCTATATTCTGTCCAGTATCTAATAAATAGCCTCTATATTCTGTCCAGTATCTAATAAACAGCCTCTATATTCTGTCCAGTATCTAATAAATAGCCTCTATATTCTGTCTAGTATCTAATAAATAGCCTCTATATTCTGCTCCAGGACTATTGACATAGCCTCTATATTCTGTCTAGTATCTAATAAACAGCCTCTATATTCTGTCCAGTATCTAATAAATAGCCTCCATATTCTGTCTAGTATCTAATAAACAGCCTCTATATTCTGTCTAGTATCTAATAAATAGCCTCCATATTCTGTCTAGTATCTAATAAACAGCCTCTATATTCTGCTCCAGGTCTATTGACATAGCCTCTACTGTCTGTTCATGCTTGGTATAATGAAATAGTGTTAAAATTCTATCTCCTTTGTCTCTCTGAATAGCCTCTACTATCTGTTCATGCTGGGTATAATGAAATAGTGTTAAAACTCTGATATCTCTCTTGTCTATCTGAATAGCCTCTACATTTCTTACATGTATCATCATCCGATGCATTTTGTTTCTCTGTAAACAAAATTCACCCAAAGTAATATTATCATCTTTTGACATGGATGTTTCCCTGAATACATAAAATCCTTTACATTAAAAGATGTACAGTGTATATATAGAACCATCTAAATTTCATATGTATATCAAATATTACTGTTAAATTCTAACATAAATTTGAACGGTTAATGGTTTTCAGGACCGTAGAGTGGAAATCATATTGGTAACCTTGGTAACAGTGTTTATATTCTGATACATGCCACTTATGTTAGGCAGATCATTAGCAATCAAATATCATGTTAATATAAAATTTTCACATGTAAAACTTTTTGTCTATGTCCGAGGTAATTATGATGTAATATGTTGTGATACAACGATAAAGAAAAAATCCCAAAGTCAAATTAATATCACCAATACCAAGACTGTTGATGTGTTAATTATTACTTAGTTTTCCTTTTTTAATATTACAAAACTAAATGCTCTAGCAAATTTGATAGTGTCTTAATATGTACAATAAAAAACTTACTCTGATAATCTGTCCTCATTTCTAAGATATTAAACTTTTCAAAAGAGTTAGAATATTTCTGGTGTTTTCTACCTTAACTTAAACATACCTGGTGACACATAATCTTGCAGTGCAATCACATATTTGGAACGTTTCTTGAGCCCCTCAAGGAAGGTCACAACAAGGTCGCGGATGTCTTCAGCGTTTGGTGAAGTGAATGTATACTCATCCCCCTTCACTGTAGCCAGAGTAAAACTCTGTCCATGCATCTTACCCGTCCTAACAAAACAAATTTATAAATAATCAGACAAAAATTCTCCAGCTGGAGATATTTATGAAGAACCAACATCTTGCTAAGTTCATATGTGTGTTAAGGTTCATCTTCTCGGCTTCAACAAAATTCAACAAAATTAAGGTTCAGAGGTCAAAATTCTTGCATACATAAAAGTTTGCTATAATTACAATAACAAGAATGTTTAGGACAGCATTTGTTCAATAGTCTTCCTGATCATGGAAATCTGACCGTGTAGAGACAAATGTCTTACATATGCTAAATGCTTCTCCCAACAATGGTAGTTAGAGAGATAAGAACTACTCATCTGATACTGTTCTTTAAAGATATTTCTCAAAAATTCATTAAGTGAAATTACACAAATGATACATCTTTCTAGCTTCATGAGACAATGAGCTGGAGAAAGCATGTAATTTTTTTAAGTATGTATAAACTAAAACCTGTAATATAATTCAGATCCTCCAAGTTCTGCAAAGACTTCTTACACACTTCAGGTGTTCATTGAACACAGAATCTAATTAAATGGTCCATCAGGATTGAACCATTGACTGATATATACAGGATCTCACCTGCTGCTGGAAACAGCTGTGATTTCTGGGAAGGATAGTTCCAACAACACTTGTTCCTGGTCATCCACAATGTAAACACCTGTCCAGTTCACGGCAATGATCACATCATTCTTAGGTAAGCTCGGACCTGCGAACTTATAGGCCTCGTAAAAGCGTGAAAATAGAAGTGGCCACTTGTACTTTGCATAACTGACTATGTCCTCTTTCACTTTGATAGGTTTGATTCTTTCAAAGTATTGTATCCTTAACTTTGTCATTATCATGTTTATCCAAAAGCTCATAGCATTTGGTTTCTGGATTGCCTGGTCTGGTACATAAGATGGTAGAAGAGACTGTAGCCGATCTGGGTTGACGTTACAACCATATTCTATGTAGTACTGCTGAGCTGCTATCATGGCAAGGTCATCGTCCTGTCAGGGATAAGGTCAAGGTCATTTAATCAATTTAACTGAAGTATGAATCATAGCAAGATGCTTCATTAATCTGGACAATATTGATCCAGATTTCTAAATTAAGGTAGTGAATCTTACCAGATCATAATGAGGTGGCAATGAAAAAAGGAGGTAACAGATATTTTGACATAGCCACACAAATGACAAAGGAAGATACATTTTGACATGGTAAAAATGAAGTATAAGAAAACAATTTTTGTGTAGATTCTAATTTAGATGATTGCATCTGTATAATGTTTTAACACCAAAATAAGACTGACAATGAATTTGTATTAGCTTCCTCAGTAGTAGAGAAAAGTGTTTCTCTACTAAAATTCCTCACCTTATCACAGCGGTATTCTCCAAACTTAATACCACGAACAACTTGTTGAAAGATCAGGTTGCTGGCTGTCCCGTCTTCTCCTGGATTGTGCCAAGGAGCAAAAATCTCTTTACGGAAGAACAGTCGCCACGGAGCATTCCTCTCCTGGGCACCTTGCTCTTTGGCATATTGTTCACATTGGGAGATGGCGTCCATCACATGGTCACCACCACTCCCGAGAGAGGACACCTACAATTGTATTGATAAAGACACCTTGTTATATCATATTCACATATATTAATACGATTTACATCATTTACATCAAATGTAACTCTATTACATCACAATCAAGTACAAGTTACATTATTTTACATTAAATATCATTTAAACAGCTGAATTATATAACAAATGTATTAATAAGATCAGTGTTACAGATCCTTAGTATGTTACCACTAATTAACAAAAATAATACTTTAAACTAATCTTAAAACATGGAATCCTGTTTCCTTTTCTTAGAATAAAGCAAACATTTGAGAAAGAGTAAAATCAGGGATATTAAAACAGCTGGTGGTTCTTTGTCTGTTCTTACCTTGTCAAACAATGCAATATAAAGGGAGAACCCAAACTGGTCTTTGAGGGCAATCTTTTCTGACAGTTGCATACAGAGTTCCTTAGCTGTAGTGGCAGAATCAGCCAGGAGAGTCTTAGTGTTACCGTCCATGAATGTAATGGGAAGCATGAGAGGCTTCTTAGACTTCGTGGCTTGTAGCTCCAGCCAGCTAGGAGGCTGGTTACGTGTTCCATTTGCAAAAGTACGCCGCAGACGACTTTCGCAGTACGGTGCATACCCTGGGGGTCCCTCATGTATAAAGTTCCGCAGATACTTCAAAAACTATCAATAAAAATATGTATTCAGCAATGCATCATGAATTGATGTTAAAATACTTAAAAGCTACAGACCAAATTTAATACATTAGTATATATAAAAATATCTGTCTACAAAGATATAATTAAAAACAGTTTTGGAAAAAATGCACTTTATTCCATCATAAAATTGTATCAGATATTAATTTTCTGGAGTCGCCCACAAGAACATACAATGGATCATGGTGGATCTATTACTATTAGATGATGTGGATTCTTCTCACCTTGTCTGTAGGAGCGAAGCAGCCCACACAGAGAGACAGCAGGATCCAGCCCCGAGCGTGACTGCTTTTAGTCGGATTCTGAGTCAGTTGCTTACAAATTTGGCAGTAGATTTCGTCCCTATCAAATACATCATTTTAAAGTTACACTTCTAATAATGAATTAAATGTTTATTGGTGGAAGTCTTGCTTACTAATGGCACTGAAATCTTTTATCCAATATTGAACAGACCAATGTGAAAAGTATGATCAAATCACTTTAATTATTAGACAAACGTATCAATGATCTGTTAGATTTTCTTCTCACCTAAGTTCGGGTCGGAGAATTCCGTGTCCTATAATGAGATGAAGTTTTTCCAAGTTTGATGTGGGACGTTCTTCCAGGAGGGCATTGCTACCATAACTACCATCAAAGTCCTGCATCAGTTTACGTGTCACTTCCTCTGTGATCTTTGACTTTTTCTTCAAGGTCAAGGACACAAGCTTTTTCCTCATGCTTCGTTTACCAGCTCTACCCATGGGATACGGTTCCTTCTCCTGAAATATCCAACAACTTATATCATCTCACAATACACAATAAAGAGAAAAAAGATAAACTTAAATATGACATATTGCACATGATCTTTTAACTGAATACTTTAATCATCTTCTATCAGTATACACACAAAAGATATAATTTTCATTTATTGCTCTTTATCTATTTGTGTCATAAACTGAGTGAAAAACTTACGATATCCAGCCCCATCCTTTGTGCCTCCTCCAAATCCTTTTTATTGAACTTGCGCCCAAGTGTGGAGTAGATCTTGGTCATGACTGGTGTAGTGTCCTGTAGTAAAACATACAATAGGATGCGATATTGGTTTTTAAAAGTTTCTGCTGTGCTAGATCTCCTCAATACAAAGTTAGAAATAAACAACAATGACTAACTACTCTGACGACTGTTCATTGCTTATCTCTAAATAGTGATGCCTTGGCTTCATCATTAACAATCTTAATTCAGAACTGAAAGAGGAATGAAAATGAAAAAAAAAAACTTTAACAAGAATGTACAAGTAGTTACAATGATAATATATAGATACCCTTGAGTCTGTGGCCATGGCAGTGTATTTGGGCTCTGGTAAATCTCCCATAAATCTCAGTATGGTGATCCACACAGCCAATGCCGCCTGTAACAAGACAAAGATGTGATTATCCTAGTGGAAAGCTAAGTCATCTAAATATAGGCGTAATGATGGTACAGAGAAATATCTAAATGTCCAGATCATCTGAGTGTTTAATTATCTGATCATCTAAATGTTTGTTCAGAATAAGATCTCAAGTGTTAAAATATAAACTGGTAACTACTAAGGCATTGATATATAAAATACAAACACCATTGAAATCTATGTAATATTCAAAAGCACAATAAGAAAACATATCTATGACAAATGCTATTCCATACCAGTTTGTCACCATCATTTTTCATTGGCAGTAAAGGTTCCCTGAGTGCCTTGCGTATAAACGTATGTGAGGTATTGGCCTGGAAGTACATGCTAGCAAATTTAGAGAACTTGTACTCGGAGAGGTCTTCATCATCTTCAGGGAGCTCAGGCTCCATCAAACTACTGTAGTCCTCCAGACCGTTCTCTTGGGCGACGCGACGTCGCTTGTCCTCCAGGTCCTACAAACAACAACGTCATGTCAGTCAACTTAAGGGTCCTTTTGGTGTCATATTAACAATATGTAACACTTAAATGTTTCAAAATAGACTGATATAAATCTCATCTTCCTGTCTAATTTGAAAAGCTGAGCTTTCTACATCAAGAATATGACTTTCAACACACAAATACCGGTATGTTAGACTAGAGGAATGACTGGTTTAACACACAGCTGTGTTGTACTACAGTAATGACTGGTTTAACACACAGCTTTGTTGTACTACAGTAATGACTGGTTTAACACACAGCTGTGTTGTACTACAGTAATGATTGGTTTAACACACAGCTGTGTTGTACTACAGTAATGATTGGTTTAACACACAGCTGTGTTGTACTACAGTAATGACTGGTTTAACACAGCTGTGTTGTACTACAGTAAGGATTGGTTTAACACACAGCTGTGTTGTACTACAGTAAGGATTGGTTTAACACACAGCTGTGTTGTACTACAGCAATGATTGGTTTAACACACAGCTGTGTTGTACTACAGTAAGGATTGGTTTAACACACAGCTATGTTTTACTAGAGGAATGATTGGTTTAACACACAGCTGTGTTGTACTACAGTAAGGATTGGTTTAACACACAACTGTGTTTTACTACAGTAAGGATTGACTTACTTTAAATGAGTATGGAGCAGCACCTTCTTCGTTGTTACCGTCAATAAAACCAAACATCTCTTCAACCTGATAAAATAAAAGACAAGATAAACACTTTATCTTAATAAATCTAAGTTTATTTCCTCCATCAACACTTCTTTGGTATGAATAGTTACTAGAAGAACTAAGAAGGAAACATTATTGACACATATTAATTCAGGATTTTCAGATAATAAATTAGACCACCTTAACATATCCTCACGTTTGTTCAAAAATCAATTATCTTTTAATTAAAATGACCCAATGATTGCTGTCAACTTAACAAATATAAGAAATCTGTTCATAAAAGTAAAGCTGTTTAATTCTTTAATGATTTTGACTAAATACTATTTTTCTCATAGCTTCATACTAAGATTATAGCTGTCCTTAGTTTCCAATGTTCAGTAAGCATGATATCCTTACTGATGATGCGTTCTCCCAAGTCATACATACCAGTTTTGAATCGCTGACAGGCTCATTCTTCCTCCTTTCAGCGATTTCAATTTGTTCCTTCTTCTGAATAGCCATGTGCTTCTCCATACTTTCTTCTTCCTCAACTTTTCTCTCCATCTCACGCAAACGTTCCTAAAAATGGACAATCAATGATTAGGACTATTTTCACTCTGAAACTACACTTTGTGGTAAATACCAATCTAACGCACAATAACCTCAATTAAATTATTTCATTTAAATCATATCTTTTCTCATAACTTATAACAAAACCTATTATATAATATCTCTAGAGAAGCCATTATCCCACATTCTGATACCTCAAAACCCTGCTTAACCCAAATATCCACTGTCAAAGATTCTCTTTCTTGATAAGAGATTAAAGCTGAAGTTCCTCCTCAGAATAATGTAAAGAATCGGATATTATGATGTATGATAAGATCTCCACAGAGTAAACTGATCCCGAATCAATGACTGTGGTACAGAGTAAATCCTATATAAAGTGCTTAAGCCTGCAACACCAATCATAATAAGATAGGATACCTGATACAGACGCTCTGCCTCCATTTTTGCTTTTTTGTCATTCATTTTTCGTTTCAGCTTGGCTTCTTCTTCCTTTCGTAGATTTTCCAGTTCCATCTTGTTGTGGTACTGTGGATATGGTGTGTACATATGATATCACACAGTCATGTAGACATTGTGGAGAAAAACTAATGAGTAACATTCCTGATGTTATTATTCAAAACATTATACTTTATATTTTTATTTTCAGAATCAACAACTAATTAAATTCATTATTTTAATATAAATCTGAATGTCTTTATTGTATGGAGTTGTCCTCCCTATTGTATTGAGTTGTCCTCCCTATTGTATGGAGTTGTCCTCCATATTGTATGGAGTTGTCTTTCATATTGTATGGAGTTGTCCTCCCTATTGTATGGAGTTGTCCTCCCTATTGTATTTAGTTGTCCTCCCTATTGTATGGAGTTGTCCTCCCTATTGTATTGAGTTGTCCTCCCTATTGTATGGAGTTGTCCTCCATATTGTATGGAGTTGTCTTCCATATTGTATTTAGTTGTCCTCCCTATTGTACGGAGTTGTCCTCCCTATTGTATGGAGTTGTCCTCCATATTGTATGGAGTTGTCCTCCCTATTGTATGGAGTTGTCCTCCCTATTGTACGGAGTTGTCCTCCCTATTGTACAGAGTTGTCCTCCATATTGTAAGGAGTTGTCCTCCCTATTGTATGGAGTTGTCCTCCCTATTGTACGGAGTTGTCCTCCCTATTGTATGGAGTTGTCCTCCCTATTGTATGGAGTTGTCCTCCCTATTGTACGGAGTTGTCCTCCATATTGTATGGAGTTGTCCTCCCTATTGTACGGAGTTGTCCTCCCTATTGTATGGAGTTGTCCTCCCTATTGTACGGAGTTGTCCTCCCTATTGTATGGAGTTGTCCTCCCTATTGTACGGAGTTGTCCTCCCTATTGTATGGAGTTGTCCTCCCTATTGTATGGAGTTGTCCTCCCTATTGTACGGAGTTGTCCTCCCTATTGTATGGAGTTGTCCTCCCTATTGTAGGGAGTTGTCCTCCCTATTGTATGGAGTTGTCCTCCCTATTGTATGGAGTTGTCCTCCCTATTGTATGGAGTTGTCCTCCCTATTGTAGGGAGTTGTCCTCCCTATTGTATGGAGTTGTCCTCCCTATTGTACGGAGTTGTCCTCCCTATTGTATGGAGTTGTCCTCCCTATTGTATGGAGTTGTCCTCCCTATTGTACGGAGTTGTCCTCCCTATTGTATGGAGTTGTCCTCCCTATTGTACGGAGTTGTCCTCCCTATTGTATGGAGTTGTCCTCCATATTGTATGGAGTTGTCCTCCCTATTGTATGGAGTTGTCCTCCCTATTGTATGGAGTTGTCCTCCCTATTGTATGGAGTTGTCCTCCCTATTGTAGGGAGTTGTCCTCCCTATTGTATGGAGTTGTTTCTGACACTTTTCAGTAAGATTTACCTCTATCTTTTGCCGTTTGTATTTGCGTCTGGCAATCATGGCACGGACTACAGCTTGAATCTTTATGATGGAGATCATCCTTTGCATGGTCCATTTCCTCACCAAGAAACCACGGCAACGGCGCTAAATACACGCAAATCAAGTTCATATTAAGTCTTATGACAAAAATAATACAATAATTTGAGTTTTAAATGACAAAATCAATATTGTAAATCAAGACAAGTAAAATTAATATATGTGCAAAAAGGTCTTATCATATTTTCATTTATTGCCCTTTTCATATTTTCTCATATGTTGGGAAATATTTACCTGTAAATCGATGATGACAGCACGTTTACGATTGAACTGTGCTGTCAGTAGACGTGATCTCACCACTGCCTGTAGTCGCATGTATCCTTGCTTCATCTGGTAAAATATCAATGTAATGTATTCATGTAACAGTGGAACAAATCACTTAAATAGTTACAGAATTTGAACTTTTCATCAGTTCTTCCTTACTAGATCTTAAAAGAAATCCTACACATCAAATTTTCTTATATTTCTATCCAATGAGTCAATGCAAGTCAGCGACTATTATTGGCAAAAAACTGCCTAATTTGCAGAATTCAACACTTTCAAACTAAAACAGATCTTTTGTAGCATTTGCAAGGCTTTGGATTAAAATAATACAATCTGCAAAAGGATATAAAATATTTAGGGGTCCATTATCTGACTCACCAGCCAAATTGATAATTTAAAGGTTTGAGTAAATACTGACCAGGACAAAGCGCTTCCTCTCCAAGTATGTCCGCCACAACTTCTGGATAATGATGGATCCAGTCTTAATTTTGAGGAATTTACGTCTGCAGTGCCAAGCACGGATTGTCTTCTGTAGGACAAGAATCTTCTCTGTCAAGGCCACCTCCCTCTGTTGTTCTAGATACACGTCCTGGGCATCCTACAATTATAGTTAATAATGTTACAAATATTTAAAGGATAAAAAAACGCTATTTTACGGATTAGATTTATAACACAATATATTCCACTTTTATCGGACGATAAAATTACAGGCTAGTGTGTCTTATTTCAAAGAAAATTATATATGACCAAAAATATTTATTGTATTTGTGTATAAATGTGTAAATAAAAAATTGTCAAACTGGGCACTGATCATCAAATACAGTAATCAACTTCTGACAGCAAAGCCTGTTAATATGAGAAAATTCAAATTTCCTTTTATGATATAATGTGGGTGGTGACCATCTTATACTTTTTCTTTTTGTTTTTAATTTCTGAAATAGTTTTAGAATTTATTACCTTTAAAAATACTTTGGTTTTTCCCATCTGGTAATCCTTGCCAGTGAGGACAATACTACAGATTTTCTCTGAAGCTTGTCTGCAATTCTCCTTGTGGGATGGCCCAATTCCTGGTGCAAGGAGACGATAACGATCCACAAAGTCACCGAACCGATGCCTTATGGGATATCCTGCTCTACGGATTCGAATTGTCTCCATCATTCCGGAGTAACGTAGCTGTTTACAACACAGCTCACGGTCAAAAATCTGTCCAAAAAAATAATCGAACAGAAATGACAAAGTGACGAGGTTTTCTAGTGTGTTACAGCTGTATATGTAGCATCTACAAGTGTTAATGATATGGAAATTTTCATAACATGACATTTGAGTATAGTTAGATTTTCTGAAATCTCCTTAAAAACTTGCTTCCTTGTAAGACGAACATCAAATTCAACAAAATTTTTTTTTTCTATTTTGAGCTTCGGACTTGACTGCATGTTGAATTTCATTATAAACAGAAATTCAAGATCTTATATAAAATAACTACCCTGTTATCACAGCCATTACATATATTTTATTAGTAATACAGAATGGAAATATCAGTAATTTTTATTTCACCTAAGTCAAATAAAACTGCTAGGTTATAGGATAAACAGAATCTTATATTTGTTTTCATTTCATATGGGATTTGTAAAATTCATCAAGGATTTTTCATTTCACCACACCAGCAGCTAAGTAAAACAACCAGGTATAAGATTTGTTTTGCTAATCTTTTATAAGTACTGAAAGCTTGTGTTAGATTCTTTACATTTTTGTTTCAGTCTGAAACTTTAATGGTATCAAATAAAAACAGTACATAAGACAACAGTTAACTAATTAATTTTATCATTCTGTGTGTTTTTTTTCAATCAATTCCAAACAAGATAACAATAAAAACAATTGGAACATGTGATGAAAAGATTTCTCTCCTTTAACACTAACATACCAGGGGTTTCTTGAGTTCGTTGGGTTTGATACATCTGACAAAGAATGGCTGACAAGCGCCGAGTGTTTTCATCAACAGTTCCAGTGACTTCTTAAACTGTGATCCAAGAGTTGGTGCTCTCTTCCTTGTTTCAGCTCCCTGTCATAAAATGTTAATATGTTATCTAGGTTCAGGACTTACTACCTACCATCAAATAGTTAACAAAATCTATAGGTTCAGAATTTACTACATACCAACCAAAACCATCTCATATCTTAAATGTACACTTAACACTTAATTTATCAACTTTGATGAGACTTTCAACGGATTAATTGGCTTTAAACCATTATCAGATTTTCTCCATTTTTCACATTTGTTTTGAAAAATAAGCATAGTTCAAACCAGACACAATGACAATGTAATCAACACTGCACATATGATTCAAATACCGTGGCGACTCCACCATTACATTAGCCCAATAAAGCAAATAGCCAATTCTCTAAATTTTGATAAAAATCCCTCCAAAAATGAAGGCACTAGAGAGCTGACAAGGATGACTTTTCCATATGTACATACAGGAACATCACTCGGACATTTTTGGAAAAGCATAGCTGAAGTGTTTGCCCTTTTATTCATTCCAAGCAACCAGGATAATATCTCTCAAGCATTGAACATGTACCTACAACTCAATGCTTTACTGTGTTTTACTGAAAAAGGGCAGATAAGAGTAGTCTTTCTTGTTACTGTGATAAATTGTGACCCATAGAAAGACTACACATTCAGGAGAATGTCGACAAGAATGTAGTTACCATGGAAACATCCTGGACAAAAAGCCCTGACAGGAAAGGATTGGAGGAGGTCTGTATCAGCTGTAGTAGATCTGGGCTGAAAGTGTCACGATTCTTCTCCAAAAATCCTGTAAAATTCAAGATCATATTGTTGAATAAAACCACACAGTCAAGGTAACACTGAACAAAAATTAAGCTAACCAAAGTCCCTGAATCACACTCATGAACAAGATTACACTCCACTAAAACTGCCCTGAAAGGAAATAAATAACAATTTATAACGAAATATATAGATATAAAATGGAACATAATTTTACTCAGAAATGAAGTTCAAGATCACAATGGCTTAAAGCTTTCACAGGAGAGTTTATGTGTCTAGATCTAGTGTAGTACCTTTAGCATCATAGAAGACAACACCAGCAAAATGGTTGAGACCGAACACATGGGAGATTTCAGCCTTTGGTCGCAGATAGTTTTTGTTGTCTTTGTGTTGTTGATGGAGCTTGGCCAACATTGTCTGGTCTGTTCCCTGTTAAAAAACACAAATTGATTTAAAAAGCACAGACTCCTCATTCAAAATCTACCACAGTATACCATCTGATTATCACAAACAGTTGGGTCACCAATGTAACCAAGTGTACATACTGTAAAATCAAGTCACTATAATGATAATACACAAGTTTAAATTTCTCCTCACCTACCTCAAAAGGAAACAATTACCAACTTTAAATGAGATATTTTGCCTCATCCTGTGAGAACAGGTGATCCTTAAAATTAAGACATCTGATTTTTATAACACTCAATCTGCACCTTCCAATATTAGTTACACGGAAATTGATAAATTTTTTATTTTAAATGCCATGCAATGTGAACCTTTAAGATATGTGTTTTAGTTCTGTTTAAACTTTACCTTGGGGAATTTGCTTTCTTCATCAACCAATGAGATAATGTTCATTGCTTTTGCACCAATCATATCCAAGGCTTCTTGGTTGTCCACAAACTCAATATGTTGCCAATTGATGCCTTCATTGTCATATTCTTCCTGGAAAGTAATTTTAAGGAAATAGTAAGATTTAAACATAAATTCATGATCAAATATAATCAAAAGCCTTTGTGGGACCCAAAACAAAATTTCTCCCGAGACCCAGGGAAAAATCTGTCATAAATCAAATTTCCAATGGCATTCATCTTTTCTTTTAAATTGTCTACCTATTTAAAGTTTCACTCTTTTTTTCCCCATTTGTTTTCCTGAGAACAATTATATCAGTTGATGAGATAAAAAGACTCAAACTTTATTTTGGAACATTTTCGTCCTGTTAATAAGGTCAATAACATAGAAATTCTACTAGGACAACCTGTAGAACATATGAGTGTGCCATTTCAATGACTACATCGCCACTTTCATCAGACAAGGGACCAAGGTCCAGCATACTAGCACTGAGGCATGTAGTGACTAAAATCATGAAAACCTGCTTTAATCTCATAACATTTTTATCATAAATATAAACTGTACAGTATTTTTATTTACCTGTTCTAATTTGAAGATGTGTCGCACAAAGAATTGTTGTAAGTTTTCATTGGCATAGTTAATACACAGCTGTTCAAAACTGTAACAGAAAAAAGGCAATTAGTAAAATGTATTTATAAAAAATAAAAACGGTTATTACAGATCATCAATTTAATTAAAACTTCTTCACTTCAGTGACAAGATGGATAAACAGTGAATGACAGATTTCGAAGTTTTTATTTTGAGTAAGGAACAACTTTCATGAAAAAAAAGGCATAGGACTTTCCTGTCATATGAGTTAGACAAAGGACGACTTGTTCAAGTACAATTCATAACTTGCCAATCTATTCTAGTATCTGGCAAAAGTTATTTATAACACTGGACAAATCGCTCCAGTATAAGTTATGCTTGGAACTGGATAGCTAGCTCAATTTTTCTAAAGAGAGTATTGTAAACTGAATTTAGTCGTATCAATTTGATCGCATTTACACATTCACACATCCGTAGTAATTCAAGAACTCAATAATAATTTAGAGCAATAATCTCCGAGCAAACAGAGCTATTTTATGATAAAATTACTGCTACAATGTGTATGTTGTTTAAACCAAACATCAGGTGGTCTAACAATAGTGACAACATAACAGAATGGGTATATCTAACATATTGCATGTTTGATACAAAATGTGATTTTTGTTTTTGCTGGAAATGAAAGGTCAGTTGTTAGTCTCAAGAGAATATAGTCTAAAGTGTTGTTTTTGTTTGTATACAAAGCCCATCCTATCACATAAAGGTAGGTGTAACTGGAATTATAGATGTAAATCTGTGCAGTAATCCATTAATAGAAACATATAGAGAGCTAGAATTCCATTCAAGCTGGAGACATAGATACATACAATAATACAAGAAATTAACAACACAACACTCAACACACATGTATCTTTCCTGACGCAAATTTCAAAGATAAGAATCCCTTGATCAATCAAGATAAAACATAATTATGTATGAGTGTTTTTTTATTTCCAGGACAAATACCTAGTATAAAGTATATCATGTCTGAAGATGCTGTTACATAAACTACTGTAAGAGCTCCAGCAGTGAATCTTATATCATTATTATAACTCTCCTGCAATGCTGTTTTATACATATGTATGTTGTTACATAAACTACTGTAAGAGCTCCAGCAGTGAATCTTATATCATTATTATAACTCTCCTAACTATGTTCACATTCCCTGCAATGTTTAACTTGAATCTGTAATGAACTGGTTTTATACATATGTATGTTGTTACATAAACTACTGTAAGAGCTCCAGCAGTGAATCTTATATCATTATTATAACTCTCCTAACTATGTTCACATTCCCTGCAATGTTTAACTTGAATCTGTAATGAACTGAATTAATACATATACAATTACCTGTTATGATCAAAACTTTCAAATCCAAATATATCCAACACGCCTATAGAGGTCCGGAAATGATTTGGTGAAGTCTTTGGTTTAAAAATTGCAATGTTAATTTTTTGCACTATCCAGATAAACATGCGGCCATATATTCCTTTTACAAAGGCGTCGCGCACATCCTGAGAATTCTCAACACTCATCATTGTTGTAACAATTTCACCCTGTGTCACAATCGACCGTGTGGTCAAAGCATCTATCAAGTCCTGGGCCCGCACCTGTAAATAGAGTAGAACAAGTCTTTAGTAAGTAAAAATAACAAGTACAATCTACCAAGCTAACCAGAAGTTACCGTCATTAAAAAATACTCTTACAAGTGGTGTAGAATATATATTTAGGGGTTGGAAGTGTTTCACAACACTAATCGGTGTAAAGTTCAAATCACTGTAAAAGAACATATCTACGTGTGTACATCACAGCTACTTGTTCCAAAAAGGAGGGGTGTGGGATGTATGTAATTCTGAACTCAGAATCAATAAAAAAGAGATTTAATGGCATGGGATGCTTAATGAAAATATTAAAAAACATTTTCTTAAATGTTCCCTTGCAACTGATGAGCTACAGACTGTACCACAAAAAGTCAAGCTTTTACATTACATGTGTGAACTGTTACAGCATTGTTTTATTGTTTCATGTTCAATGATTGGAAAGTTCACTTCAACATTGTAGTTATGATTTACGTCACACGTCAGACAATTAGCCCAGGGAGCCAGCACATTACCTCCGATTCGAAGTGAGGGGGCGAGCTTACTACAGGACCTCAGGAGCTAACACATTACTTCTGACTCAATGTCAGGGGGGAAGGCAGATTACAGAACCTCAGGGGGCCAACATATTACATCACACTTGAAGTTAGGGGCAAGCTTATTACAGGACCTCAGAATAAAACATCACTTCTGACTCAACGTCAGAAAAACAAGGTAGGCTGATTACAGAACTTCAGGGGGCCAGCACATTACCTCTGATTCAAAGTGGAGGGGAAAGCTTATTACAGGACCTCAGAAGCTAACACATTACCTCTGAGTCAAAGTCAGGGATAGGCTTATTACAGGACCTCAGAGGGACAACACATTACCTCTGATTCAAAGTGAGGGGGCAGGCATATTACAGGACCTCAGAAGCTAACACATTACCTCTGATTCAAAGTGAGGGGGCAGGCATATTACAGGACCTCAGAAGCTAACACATTACCTCTGATTCAAAGTGAGGGGGCAGGCATATTACAGGACCTCAGGAGCTAACACATTACCTCTGATTCAAAGTGAGGGGGCAGGCATATTACAGGACCTCAGAAGCTAACACATTACCTCTGATTCAAAGTGAGGGGGCAGGCATATTACAGGACCTCAGAAGCTAACACATTACCTCTGATTCAAAGTGAGGGGGCAGGCATATTACAGGACCTCAGAAGCTAACACATTACCTCTGATTCAAAGTGAGGGGCAGGCTTATTACAGGACCTAGAGGGCCAACACATTACCTTGGAGTCAAAGTCAAAGAGTCAGCTTATTACTAAGCTACAAGGGGACACACATCTCCTCGGACTCTAAAGGGAGTGGGGTGGCTTAAGCATATTACAGGACAAATACCATTGGTTTACAATTTTGCTGAACAGTACTATATAAAGGTGAGTTTATTAGCAGACAGGAACTGACTCCCTGATGATTACTGATCAGTAAACCTTGGTCTACTTACCTCCATCAGTCTGGCAGCTTTGTTTACCGACTGTATGTCCTGGATTTCACTGGCATCCATATTGTCCATCTCAATTGCTAAACAAATAAAAAGTGAAACTTTCATTAATTCAAAGTAAAACATGTCATTACATATTGCTACAATAGAACATCTGAATGACTTGTCATGTACTAAAACTGCTTGTTTACCACCAACTTATTCTCCAGTGGACCATATTCCAACCCCTAGTTTAATTAACATTACAATAGTGATATATATAAAAACATTATTTAGGCAAGTTAACTGGACTGTTAATAGACTGATTTTGAGATAAAACCCCATTTTGTACACACCCAACTTAGAAATCCCAATCTTGGAGAAAGGCAGTTGTATTATCAACTGATTTAGCCAATTATCTTTCTCAGGTATAATCAGGTGAAATTTCTAAGTGATCTCTGTATATAACTGCATTTTATGATAAACATAATGACAGATGTCATGTCATGTTTACAGAGGAAACAACAAGGCCATTCCTGTTGATGTCCTATATTAGATTACCATTATATTTGATATTTCCCAGGTGTAGCAAAGAAGCCAGCACTTTGAGGATCTCCCAGACTTCCTTGTCCTGGAACATGAGCACTTTCATGGCTGAACGGATATCAGCAAACTCCTTAATGTCGTCCCTTCCATCACAGAAAATGCTACCCCCCTGTAATATTGGATAAACATGTTACATAGTTAGTCAATGGTTTAGACTCTGGAAAACTGTGTATTTACAATGGTGTGTGACAGTAGTATTTATCTGGCAGGTGTACATGTGAATATATCAGTTAGTGTACTGCAGTAATGCATGTTCAATAAACTGCATGTTTATAATGGTGTAAAAACTCTTAAGACATGTCTGAAGTCTAATTTATGGACAGGTGTAAAGTTTTATTTGTGAAATATATCAACAGTCCGTTTGTTTTACCTGTATGTGTAATGTACCAGTAGCCTGTGCGTTTTCACATGTGTATAATTAAGTTACCAGTATTCTGTATGTTTTTACCTGTGTAAGGTATCAGTATTCTGTATGTTTTTACCTGTGTAAGGTATCAGTATTCTGTTTGTTTTTACCTGTGTAAGGTATCAGTATTCTGTATGTTTTTACCTGTGTAAGGTACCAGTATTCTGTTTGTTTTTACCTGTGTAAGGTACCAGTATTCTGTTTGTTTTTACCTGTGTAAGGTACCAGTATTCTGTATGTTTTTACCTGTGTAAGGTATCAGTATTCTGTATGTTTTTGCCTGTGTAAGGTACCAATATTCTGTATGTTTTTACCTGTGTAAGGTATCAGTATTCTGTATGTTTTTACCTGTGTAAGGTACCAATATTCTGTATGTTTTTACCTGTGTAAGGTACCAATATTCTGTATGTTTTTACCTGTGTAAGGTACCAATATTCTGTATGTTTTTACCTGCGTAAGGTACCAATAGTCATTAGCATTGGTAACTTCCAGTTGGTGCTTCTCCTCCTGTGTCATACCAGCCAACATACAGTAGAATATGTGGTAGTTGCGTTCATCATGTGCCTGCGTGACAATACGAGACTTTTCTAGTAGATATTGTTCTATCTTAGCACCCTCAATGGAACCTTTGTCATTGAAATGAATATCAATGTATTTACCAAATCTACTGGAGTTGTCATTTCGTATGGTTTTTGCATTTCCAAAGGCTGAAAATTAAAAAAAAAAAATTGATAAGTTCAAGTAAAGTTCATACTTGGGTATAATATTTCTTTTTCAGAAACAAATATACTTTATATTTCCAGTATAAAGTGATTATAGCTAATAAGCAAATGTAGTAAGAATGTAGATATGCAGATATTCTCGTGACTGAACGTTCTCTGTGTTAAATCAAATGTTCGGCTCTAACGTAAACATATCATTATATCTGTATATGTTATATTAAAGTTGTGCGTATAAAAAGTGTTGTATTCGTTAGTTTGTATAAACAGAATTCAAACAGGATGTTTTATCAATAACCATACATTTTGTTGGATAAGATCCCGTTGATGTCTATACTGAATCTGCACAAAATGTCAGCTACAAACCTGTTAAATATCAAGATAACATTACCTATGTTACAATTAGATTACTTAACAATGAAAGTGGGTCACTTACCCTCCATAATTGGATTAGCCTCAAGGATTTGCTGTTCTATCCACGAGTGCTGACCACTGACAGCAGCCAGAAACTGTAGGATGAGCTTCGTACTCTCCGTTTTACCTGCACCAGACTCCCCACTGTAATCAGCATTATATATTGAATAAAAAAGCGAAAAAAAAATATAACAATAAAATTTGTTTACAATTTGTACCCTTAATATCTATAATATTTTTCCTTCCTTATTTTCAAATTCTGGTCATAGTTTTACCATTCAATGGCACCGACACAACTTTAATTTCCAACTTTCCCTTTCAAGTGGATCAAAAGTATCCTGTTATTAAAAACATTCCATCAGTTCAATCCCTTCCCTTACAGGCAGATAAAATTGGACATTCCATTTTCATGTATATGAAGACCAATTTGTATTAGTTAACATGATATATAGATTAAAGAATTCTCACAAATCATGAGAGATATTCTAACAATATCTGAATTCGGTGCTCCCATTGGACGACTTTCAGCATTCTTACCTGATAATGACACACTGGTCTCTTTGGTAACGCCTCATATTGAAGTAAGAGTTGTCGGCTATGGCAAATATATGTGGAGGTCGCTCTCCAATCTTTTTGTCCCGATATAACTGGATCTGTTCAGCTGTGTAGATGGGTAGTATCTGGTATGGGTTTACCGCCACCATGATTGACCCAGTGTAAGTCTAAAAACAACATATCATCATATTAATTTTCAAATGATTTGAAATGTCAGAAATGATCTAATACATGTAAGAACTATAGAGAATTCATTCTCCCGATGACACCTAACATCCTACTACTGTTATAACTGTGGGGGATCACCTTCTAACTTTGCTTTAGGACAAAATATTCAAGCTGAGGCTGCAGAACTGAAGTTAGAATTGCGTCTGTGGTAAGGATAACTCAAATTCTATACTTGAGGGTTGAAAACCTTTTATGAAGGATTTCTCTTATCTTTGACCCAAATTTTTAGCAGGTCATTTTGACAGTTCAATGCAAATGCATTTGTTACATATGTAGTAATGGTATCAATCCAGAAATAAGCCCAGGGGGTCAGACATAGCCTCTGACCTCAAGGGAGGTGGGCTTATTACAGGACATCTGTTGTTAAATCTGCTGTGTGATATATGTGAGCAAGCTTATTACCAGACACTTTAATGTTGCCAACATTACAGCACCAGAATTTCTTGTGATTGTAAAAAGGACACAGTTTGGGTAAAGCAGACAAGGACAGAGTCATATTTTTGCATTTGATGTAATGTCTTCCCTTGTAGTTCATGAGGTGCTGGCAGTTGCTGTCAGCAATTAATTACAATTGCAATTGTTAATAGATACACACACTCATCAAATAAAAATATACTTACGTAGATGAGATTGTCCATATAGCGTATAAAAAGGTTACGGAGAATTCCAGCTTCATTGAGGTCACCCAGTCCAATCATGTCCTCTACCCCCTCCACAGAGTGTGAATGCATGTGTCGAATTTTCTGTTTGCCATCCAGCCAGTGTTCATTTCCATCATCGTCAACAACATGTACACGTCCAGAATCATGGAACTTAACCCTGGCCCCAATTGCCACGGTGAACTCTCCCTTTGTCTCGGGTTCCAGCCACACATGGTCCCCCTGAAAAGATTTTATTATATTCAAAATTTCAGGTATTTTCGCAGAAAGACAGATATCAGAACTGCAGTCATATGTGGCATCGTGATAAGGATCCTTTCTACAGAATCTCATGAAAGTAAACAGATTTTCCTGAAAATTTATTCCAAATTTCCATTGAAAACATTAAAATGAAAGCTGTGTTGCATATATAGGGTCCAGCCAGTGAATCACACCTAGGATTATTGTTTTCTACAGTTTCCAAAGTCAGGGAGCCATTGTATTGTGCTCAATATTTTCAATGTAATGAAGCCCTTGTCAACAGGGTATACAGCTGAGTCCCTTCCTCAAATATGGTATCATCTATGAATATTTGAATATCTTTGAGTGTTTTATGTAACACATGTATTCCTGTAAACAAACACTTTATTTATACATCTACTGCAGTCAGCTGACCAGTGAGTGTATTTCCATAAATACATTAACAGTGTGTTGTTCCAATAAATTTGGTCATTCAACAACTAGGTTGTTATTATATACAAGTAGCATAACAAATCTAGATACATCAGCAAAAACTATGGAAACCTACTTTGCATCATTGATTTTCATTCAGTCAGTCTTTATGAAAAATGAGCAACACATCTCTTTGTGCCTGGTGGTTGCACATGACTGGGTAAACTAACAGTCTCCGTCAGTGGTAGAGCTCTCCCATGCTGCTTTTATCGTATTTAAACTAACAAACCTCAATCTACTTATTATAGCAGGGGTGTTGCTTTCTAGACTTTTAAAACGTCATCCATCTAGGCTGTGAAATGGGACCTATATCTGGATTAGTAGCTGGGTGGTTAAATGTTTTCTGAAAGTTATCAAAGACTTATTTTACTGTGAACTATGATAACTGTTGATGTTTAGATGTTTAATCATTGTTAACAACATTGAACTTAAAGTTGGAACTTCAACTAAAACAGATCCAGTCATTTCATGAAGGGGTGGGGGGGGATGGAGAGAAAACAAGCACCAGAACACTGTAACACTCCAGCTCCATCTGTTATACATGTAACACTTCACCTCCAATAAAACACATTCACATAATGTATTTACTCCATTAGGCTTCATTACGGAATTATTTACGACCAGTAAAAGACCTGAAAACCTCCCAGACATTATACACTCTCTAACACTGCAGTAAAACCCTCTGTAAACATACAAATACTGCAAAACTTTAAAATTCTTTCAGAAAAAAATATAAATTACCAGAGGATTAGAGTTAAATTTCCTTACATTTCTAAGTTAATATAGCAGCCATCTGTCAGAATTACCAGGTAAAACAATATTGACTAATATTTAGTTCGCCCAATAAATTATCAGTTAGTAGAGATTTCCTTGCATGATACACTATAAACTTGACAGAGTCCTAGTTTTATTGTTGCAACAAATGTCTATGTAACAATGTAACAGAATCTTGATAAAGTCAGAATGTGTCTTAACTTCAGAATGTTGACAAAGCAAGAACGTGTCTTAACTTCAGAGTGTTGACAAAGCAAGAACATGTCTTGACTTCAGAGTGTTGACAAAGTAAGAATGTGTCTTAACTTAAGAATGTTGACAAAGCAAGAAGGTGTCTTAACTTCAGAGAATGTTGACAAAGTAAGAATGTGTCTTAACTTCAGAATGTTGACAAAGTAAGAATGTGTCTTAACTTCAGAATGTTGACAAAGTAAGAATGTGTCTTAACTTCAGAATGTTGACATTGTAACAAAGTATTTTACATCAGAAATTGTTGACATTATAATAATATACTTTGTTGCAGAAAGCTGACAAAGTAACCTGCAGATTGTTGACAAAAGTAACAATGTTCAACAATGTGTTTTCTTACAGAAATATCACAATGTTGAAAAAATGTCATTGTGTTTAACAGCAGAATATTGATAGTGTTACATAATTATGTGTTTTACCTGATAATGTAAGCTTAGCATTGAAGTAAATTAAAATAACTGCAGATTTATGTAAATATTGTAGTCAAGATCTTTGACAAAAATACTTGATGAAATGTTAGCAGAGATGTAAGTCACATAGAGCTGATTAGTTGGGTCTAAAATTATTTTGAAAAATAAACAGTATACAGTCTTGGATCCTGCTTGACTGAATTTCCTACAGTGTATCATATCAGTTAGTTATGCTGATGAAAGGTAGATATTTCATCGGCCTTCAGCTGTCCACCACTGTTTAGTAAGCTGACCAGACAACAGCTGTTGTAAGACCAGAATTAACCAGGTGTTACTAACGATGGGTGTACAGATATCTCCTACATTATCTCGTCAGACCCAGGTACCTAGCTACAGTGGTAATTGGTTGGGCCTTAATCTTATGTTAAGTATAGGTTACACAATGTCCCTGGCTAAAACATTGTGAAGATTTTCAGTATACCTTACACTACAATATATTGATGTCCAACATGTCCGAAAAACATCGTATAGGTTCTAGCATTTTATTGAATGTTACAACTGACTTCAGTTAACTCTCACATCAAAATTTTCTGAATATCAACACTGAATAGTGATTCCAAATATCAGTTTAATGCAATCACATCCAATCGAAAAATTAATATAGTGAAGAAAGAATAATAAATTGAATGAAGTAGTCAACATAGCAAAGGCTTTTCAATAAAGTTTTCAGAACTTAGAGCCATATTCAGGCAAATTTTTCAAACTAAATATTTACCAAATTCTGGCATCACAATACTATAAGGAATAAATATGTAATATAAAAATATAACTGTTGGTTATTATCTCATAAATGCCAACAGAATAAGCACAGGAGTTTGAAATTCAAATGAGAAAATAAGGAAAAAATTGAAAAGATGGATAACTGAAGAAAGTTGTAAATATAAGCATTGGGCCTATAAATGGCAACTGGACCAAAGTCAATTGAAGTGTTTGTTTTTTGCCTACTTGACATTAAAATCAATCCCTGCCAATTGACAGCAGTTCAATGCTTATATGAAGTCTAAAAATGTTGGTAAAAGTTAAGATATGACGTGCCGACTTCATTATTCAACCATTTAATCCTTACACAAAGTATCTACAATACTTTATATAACTAAGTTTTACTGTGATATATACTAGGAGGAAAAAGATACGCAACTTCAACTTTACAGTTTGATAAAATAATAAATTTTGAGCAATATACCTAAATGTGAAAACATGATAGTAAATTTGAATATTGGACCATTCGTCTTCAAATTTTCTGAGATTTTTAACAAATGAAGACATCACTAACAAGGGTATCCTAAATTATATACAAATTTGAAATAATGGCAGTTGTCAGACTGATCCCTGATATTGTGTGTGCCCTCCACAAACAGCTGAAGCATCTCTTATTTGCGAGGCATGGAATTCATAAGGACTGCTCGAACAGGAATCTTATTCCTTTCCTTGGTTCCATTCCTTGGTAAGTGAGTCGGCCATTTGGAGGTTATTTGGGATGTTTGTTTGATTCCGAACTCTTCTGTCTTATTCATCCAACAAGTGTTCAGTTGGGGACAAATCTGGGCTATATGGGGGCCAACAAGTAGGAAGGATGTTCTGGGTTACAAGAGAGTTCCTACAAACTCTTGAAACCTAGCCTAGCATTATCATGCTGAAAGGTCAAATGGTGCCTTAAATGAAACCCACCACAGGAGGCCTCAGGATCTCATGATCATTTTGATAGTAAACAAGTCATTAAATTCCTGTTCATGATCACTTTCAACTATGTGAAATTCCTCCTCAAACCAGAACTGATCCATCCCCAGATCTGTCTTTCTCCAAAAAACAAGCATTTGAAAGGTGCGCTCTTCTCCACAGCGATACACACATTGACAGCCATTTTATTGAAATAACGTAAACTGAGACTCATCTGTGAAGAGCATGGACTTCAAAGGTCTCATAGGAAAGCATAGGGGCATAAGTAATGCCAACTTTGCATATGACATGTCTGATTTTGTGGTTTGAATGGCAAACCAAGGTACTAGCGATTTGGGCATCAATTTGCATCTTGCAGTCTGTTTCTAACAGCTTTTTTTGGGGGTGGATTTGTCAGTTCCCATTATCAATGTTATTTCATGCTGTTTCTGTTGCTATTAATCTTCCATCACCCAAGCGGACACAACTGATGAACCGATCTTGATGTTGTGATGTTACACGTGGATGTCTGAATCTCGGTCGGTCATCAACTCTCAGCAGTCAGTAATCACAACTCCGCAATGGGTAGCAACCTGCTGTTGAGTATTACCTGCCATGAGCATGTTGACAGTCAAAAATCGACATCAGTTTGAATGGAAAAGAATGCATCCATTTGTACAGTCACAGTATATTGATGATTTACTGGATGTGGCAAAGTTTTTCAAGGACGACATATTATTGGCATTTATTGGGAGATAAGGTAAGGTGCCCCAATATTCCTCTTACTTTTTATATGGCTACAGTGTATGTATATTCAATACAAAATATTTTGCAATTGAAGAAGTTGCATTTCTTTATCCTTTCAGTACATGAAGATATGTTGTATGACAAAGTTGTGTCACACAGACTGGGGCTGCTGTCCTCCGTAGGAATGAGTTCCTGTATACATGGGTGTGCAGCGTTATTCTGACAACATCAGATCATTTATCTTCAAAAAGCTTAGTGTCCAGACAAAATGTACACCCGATAGGTAAGATGGCTAGGATTAACATGAGGAACACTACAACTTAACGCCTGATTCTGGAGGGATCACGAAATGTACTGTACTGTAATAATCAAAATGTGAGAAAAAGGATATATTATATACAAGCAAAATTATTTTTCATGCCAGTTTTTTTGCATCTTGCATAATATACATTTATGTAATCACTCTCGCAACCAAAAGAGTCTTCCCTCAAGCGATCCACCTATCATTGGTTTCAATTTTTTGTGAAAATCACTAATTTTCATCTAGAGTTAATCTGAATGAGGAACATGAAACTTTATTCTCAGGGACAATTTTTCATTTTTCTGACAACCTTGAACTTTGCTTTTCTTTCCCCTGTTAATTTCTGAAGTATAAATCTTCTTTTATAACTTCAGTTTCAGGGAAGCAAAATTTTGTTTGTAGCAACAGCGATTATAGACTTTGTCAAACCATATAATGACATTTGTTGTGCAATGGTTCAGTGACCTTTTTTATAGTGATTAATCTCCATAAAGAGGATGAAATTGCCTTCTAAAGTTATCTACTGAAAGTAGCGCTTAATGACTACAAGAGGAACAAGCATCACTTAATTTTCAGTAACTGTTTAATTTTTGTATCAATTAGGTTAAAATTTAGAAGGTTAAGCATCATCCTAGACATTGATCTACATATGAGGTTGACATTCTGTCTGACCACACCTTAAATCAACTCCAGTTCTCTTAGGATATCTCCCTACTTAACGGAAACAACAACCATGTATGAACTCTGCCCAGCCATTTATTCTCAGGTAAACTTTTCTCCACAGGAGAAGATCAGACACAGATGGACATGGAAAAACCACTTGTTCACCATTTTTCCTCCAATATTCAAATTTCTGAGTAATTTTCATAAACTATAGAATGGTAGGCCCATAATTCTAACCATTTCTGATGAGTAGTTAACAATCAAAGAATTCAAAAAGTCTTCAGAAAGAAATTTCTTAATGTCATATTGACAATTGCAGCAAAATGTTTCACAGATGACAAATATTCGTTCTAGATCTTTTGTATCCATATCATTCATGGGTCATATTTCTCTTTTATTTTTTATTTATTTTTTTTTTTGCACAAAATGTAATAAAAAAAATACAACCATCTCATTACAATGAAACATTTGCCACAAAACTGTGAATACATGACGTACATTTCCTTTCATTTTGAGCTAAAATTTTGAATGGGATACATTATACCCCATGGATCTACAAAGACAATGGACATACAAGTGTGGTCAGCAATTATTGTTTTGTTACAAATGCAGAAATAACAAATACTTACTCTGACTTGCATATGGGGATAGATGCTCACCATTGTCGATTATATCACACAATCTGAATAACTACACCAACATATTAAACACATCCATAGCTAATTCCACCAAAATACCACGAGAGTCCATACTGGAATGCGATTGTTGTATTAGTAGATCTAGTACCACATTGGAACACTTCATAAATACCACACACACGACACAAAGCTATCCACCATAATTTATCACTTTTGACCATATACAGAGACTTTAGAATTCCACCGTTTCCATCAGGTCACTATTTCCAGCTCCTTTGTCAGTAAACCAGGATAGGTTATTCTTATCAGTTCTCCGGCCCCCAACTTATCACCAATGTTTGAACAAGAATTTGGACCCCGTCAGCAGTGCCTTGTCGAACTTAAACGTCAGAACCAGCTTGAGAGATTGTGATTGGATTGAGGAAATTGTGCAGACTAAATCAATTAGTTTTAATTCAACATCAAAACAATACAATGCTATTGATTTGTAGGAGACATCGGATTTTATAATGGACAGATTACTAGATCCCAGATGTTACAGGTACTGATTACTCCAGAGTCAGACACCCAAGTAAACATCCGGTAACATCACGTCGCTATATTACATGGTATCAGAGCTTCAGAAGCCAACTCCACCTAACTCTGATGGGCCAACCTGGTCTTTTTACCCGATAAAGATGCTCAGGTAAGTCTTTGTACTGAAGTGCTACTATCATATTTAAAAGAAAACCTTTTTGTTCAGTGTCTTTTTCCATTCATTTGAGACTGCCCATTTTTTATCTCTTTTTTGGGGAACAAATGATCAGTTGGGAAAGAAATTGTAGCACCCAAATATATATTTTGGGAATTTGGTAATTTTTTAAAAATAAATCTGATTGGGAATGGGGCCCATATTCACCACCACAGAGCACCTGTTAAAAGGCCTAATTGCTACTGATGACAATCATGAAGAAAATTATAGACAAAAAGTAAACAACAACACAAATTATCTTATGTATACAGATGGCAATTATAATGAATGATGTGGTCGTGAGTCACAAAATGCCTCACATTTAAGCCTGACATGTTAATGTCCTCAACATTCTGCCTCAGCAACGTTGATCAATATAAGTACTTTACTGACAGGAGTTTTCTTATCCAAATTTGGAAAGCGATAATTGTGATTACAATTTGCCATGCAACATAAGTTTTTAGGCATCTAGTGTATAAGTTACAATTTTCAAGTGTTTTACTTCATGAATGAACTAAATTGTAAAAAAATGCTACAGAGGAAACAAAATAATTTTGATAAACCTTACATAATTATCCATTTCATCTATCCATGAACTGAGACAGTTCAAACCATCAAAACCAAAACCTAACATGACATTTGGAACTTCTTGGACACAAATCATAATTTTTTTATGAGTCTCAGATGATAAGAAAGCATAAGTTTTGTTTTCCCCCTGGTGACATTTACACTTTTTCCCAAAGTTCAACAATTTCAAATTTTGAAAATCTGTTCAGATGTGGTCCCAAGATGAAAATTTCAACTCTAAGATGTCAGAGTCAATAAAATGCTTTCACAAGTGTGACTTGATGATTCTACTAGAAATATCACTAATATTATTAGTCGCATAATTTAAAAATGAGGAAGCAAATTAAAAACTACCATATATAACTAAACAAACATGTCTTATCCTTCAATACTTCATCGCTTTGTCTGATTTTAACAGACACTTTAAAAAAGTCTGGTTCATTATACACCAAATGACAATTGTTTTTTGTGATTCATAATTAATTGTATGTCATGAACATCAGTAATGTCATTGTATAAACTTTATTTCTAGTTCAATAAAGATTTTCAGAACATTCTTGTGATCGATATCCAAATAAGGAATTTCAGTGTTACAAGCTCGCTTGAATAAATAATATATTCAATACTGATGATTTCTAAATGTTTAGGGTAAGCTAGAATTTGTTTGATCTTCAGCGAATCAAATTGTAAAATTGAAATTGTCAAATGATTTAACCAAATATGATATGTGCTCTGAATGTGTCTTAAACTCCACTGTCTGAACTTGCAGGCATCTAATGATATACATCATGGCCTTTCTAGCTTTTTTGTGTATACTCGGTTTATAGAGTGTGTTATATTTGATAACCAATGGACTTACCTTTCCTAAGATAACCATTTTGGAGATGAATTCAGTGACCAACAAGACACTCTGGTTATATTTACATCACAGCCTGAAAAACACAAACAAAGTCCACTGATTAACATATATGGTATTGGTAAGGTGCATTTCTTTCACCTGTACAGGTGAGTCAGGTTGTACCTCAATAGGAGAGTAAGCCAGAAATCCACCTGATCAAGGACAACATCATCCAATATTTATTATCTCTGCTAATAATAAGGTAGCTGTCAGATCTCTGAGAACTTGGCAGTGGAGCTGACTGCAGATCAAGCCTTAGCTTCATAGCTCTAATGTATGATACAAAAACATTTGTACTGAATTGTTCAAATATTGTAGGCTTCTCTTAGTTACCTTACCCAGGATTTATAAAACCTGTGTCATTATAATAAATATCCTACACTTTTACTCTAAAAGCTGAGAACGTTTTGACTTAAGCTTTACAGAGTATAGTCAAACTGGTTAATTCACCTTACTGAGATTATCATGGCACTTAAACCCAACATTAATAACTTTACAATGATAATAACTATTTAAAGATGTCTATTATTAGACTAAATTCCCATTTTTTGTGTTTGGGAGGCAACGGTAATAAGTTGACAATTGATACGCAACTCAGTCCTTCATATTGTGTTTCCATCAAAATCTCAACACAGAATGGAAGGACAGGAGTAAAACAACTTTAGTTTCTCTAAAGGATTGTGAAATCATTATAGAGTGAAGTTCATTGTGGTATCATTACAGAGTGAAGTACATTGTGGTATCATTACAGAGTGCAGTTCATTGTGGTATCATCACAGAATGAAGTACATTGTGGTATCATCACAGAATGAAGTTCACTGTAGTATCATCACAGAATGAAGTTCATTGTGGTATCATCACAGAGTGAAGTTCATTGTGGTATCATCACAGAGTGAAGTTCATTGTGGTATCATCACAGAGTGAAGTTTATTGTGGTATCATCACAGAGTGAAGTACATTGTGGTGTCAATATAGAGTGAAGTTCATTGTGGTATCATTACAGAGTGAAGTTCATTGTGGTATCATTACAGAGTGAAGTACATTGTGGTGTCATTATAGAGTGAAGTACATTGTGGTGTCATTATAGAGTGAAGTTCATTGTGGTATCATCATAGAGTGAAGTACATTGTGGTATCATTACAGAGTGAAGTACGTTGTGGTATCATCACAGAGTGAAGTTCATTGTGGTATCATTACAGAGTGAAGTACATTGTGGTATCATTACAGAGTGAAGTACATTGTGGTATCATTACAGAGTGAAGTACATTGTGGTATCATTACAGAGTGAAGTACATTGTGGTATCATTACAGAGTGAAGTACATTGTGGTATCATTACAGAGTGAAGTTCATTGTGGTATCATTACAGAGTGAAGTACATTGTGGTATCATTACAGAGTGAAGTACATTGTGGTATCATTACAGAGTGAAGTACATTGTGGTATCATTACAGAGTGAAGTACATTGTGGTGTCATTATAGAGTGAAGTACATTGTGGTGTCATTATAGAGTGAAGTTCATTGTGGTATCATCATAGAGTGAAGTACATTGTGGTATCATCACAGAGTGAAGTACATTGTGGTGTCATTACAGAGTGAAGTACATTGTGGTATCATTACAGAGTGAAGTTCATTGTGGTGTCATTATAGAGTGAAGTTCATTGTGGTATAACCACAGAGTGAAGTTTATTGTGGTATCATCACAGAGTGAAGTACATTGTGGTGTCAATATAGAGTGAAGTACATTGTGGTATCATCACAGAGTGAAGTACATTGTGGTATCATTACAGAGTGAACTTCATTGTGGTGTCATAGAGTGAAGTTCATTGTGGTATCACCACAGAGTGAAGTTTATTGTGGTATCATCACAGAGTGAAGTACATTGTGGTGTCAATATAGAGTGAAGTACATTGTGGTATCATCACATTGTGAAGTACATTGTGGTTATCATTACAGAGTGAAGTACATTGTGGTATCATCACAGAGTGAAGTTCATTGTGGTATCACCACAGAGTGAAGTTTATTGTGGTATCATCACAGAGAGAAGTACGTTGTGGTATCATTACAGAGTGAAGTACGTTGTGGTATCATTACAGAGTGAAGTACATTGTGGTATCATCACAGAATGAAGTTCATTGTGGTATCATCACAGAGTGAAGTACATTGTGGTATCATCACAGAGTGAAGTACATTGTGGTATCATTACACAGTGCAGTTCATTGTGGTGTCATCACAGAATGAAGTACATTGTGGTATCATCACAGAGTGAAGTTCAATGTGGTGTCATTACAGAGTGAAGTACATTGTGGTGTCATTACAGAGTGAAGTTCATTGTGGTATCATCACACAGTGAAGTTCATTGTAAAGTCAGTATTGAGTGCAGTCTCCAAGTGAAGTTTATTAAATGTTACATAGAATGAAGTTTATTACGATGTCACTAGAATAATTTTCTTCGCCATCTATATATAGTGCATTGTGAAAATTCATGCTATTGTCCTTATCACCATATTTGTTTAATGGTAACTGAGCTGATAATAAAGTTCTCTGTATTTTTATGAACAACACATCTGGAATAGTTTATGTAAATAGACACAAACATAATATGGTATAGTAATGAGTGGGATGCAGTAATTATATGAATCACTGTGCCTACTAAATCTGGCCGAATATCTAGATTAACAGATGTTTTGTAATCATTGGTATGAAATGTGTAGTTGTATATCATTATATATTGATTCTGTAGTAACTGCCTTATATGTTTACTGAATTCTTATAAGAGAAATAGATTATCAATCTCCACTCACCATGAGAGACAATATACTTGTGACATTAGATTGTTCACATCGTATTAAAGTCGGCAAACTATGGCAAACCAAAGGAACTATACAGACAGTATAAATGTAGACGTTGAGAGTACAGATCACCTTAATAGCCTAAGCTAGTGGGAATTTCCCTTTAGTCAAGCAGTAGTGTCCGGCTAGTGACCAAATGGTCACTAGTTCAAACCCCAGTGGTGACAGGGTATTTTTCATTACTCTTTGCTATTACATATATACTAAAGAGCTTATTGTTTAAAGAAAACAATGCAACTGTATACAAATCTATTGTAACATACCAAATGAATCTGATTTAACACATGAGCTTAGCAAGTGTTATAACTTTAGTAGACAGGAATCATTTGAATTTTTTTTTTTCTTGCTTGTGTTCAGTTCATTAAATTGATAAAAATTCACTTAACTTAATAACGTAATAAAATCCATGGTTATATAATTATGATGTCTACGTAGTTCCCTGTGGTTTATATTCCCACGAAAATAGTTTTTCTTTCACAAATAATTCTAACAGAATTTGTTAATAGTCTTTCTTTAGATGTGTGATGCATGGACATAACCATTAAGTACTCTACAGCCGTCTAAAGATATCTGACCTGATGTTTATCTTGCATTATCTTGAGATTGGGAGATGTATTTTTTTGATAGTATGCATTGTATGTAATGATAGGGAATAATATAGCTTGCACATTTTATACTCTACATGTGCGTTTCACCTGTATGACTCAATGAATTTCATGGCTTTTCTTTGGACGAGTAAATCATGGTTTAGTGAAACAAACCACAGAGAGGCCATCAAAGGGCTATTACAGCAGTAGTTATCACCTCTCCCAGCCAATAGTGAGGCACACTGCCCATCATACAGGTACACACTGAAATGTAGTGCTTACATGAGGTCGGTTTATCACTCTGAAGTAACATAAGTGTAGATAAAACTGTTTATAGCTCATATTCTACAGCTCGACCAAGTAAACAGACAAGTTTAACAGGACCCCAAAATAATATAAAAGATTCTCAGAGGACAAAAAAAAACCAGTAGACATTTTCTATTGTCATTTAATTCACATGAATACTGAAGCTTCGTGTTACTATAGCTAACGTGAACAAACATATAAGGTTGCTGAATGAAGTAAACAGAAAAGACAATAATATGTCACAGCCATATTTACATGCATACAAAGCAGAAACAATGCCTATGTGTACTGTTAATTAAGACTAATGACACTCAGCTTCACAATTATAATTATAAACACAAATCATCCTTTCTAAGGTTGCAATTCATACATAGATATTTATGTTTCAATCCTTAATAATGTGCAGCCTCTGCAACTCTTATAGTACTGCACCACCACAGTATATATACCATTTAACAGAATGTAAGGAAGGAGGCAGGGGGCAGGGACAGGGACAGGGACAGGGACAGGGACAGGGACAGGGACAGGGACAGGGACAGGGACAGGGACAGGGGGGCAGGAGGGCAGGGACAGGGGCAGGGGCAGGGACAGGGGCTGGGGCAGGGGGCAGGGGCAGGGACAGGGGGGCAGGGGGGCAGGGCTAGGGGCAGAAGCAGGGACAGGGACAGGGACAGGGACAGGGACAGGGACAGGGGCAGGGGCAGGGGCAGGGGCTCCTATCTATACAGGGAAATAATTTCCAAACTTCACAAGGACCACAATATCATTAAATGTAAGCTAGAATGAGATGATCTGCTCAAATATTTTCAATACCTCTAGTACTTAAACTACAATGATGATTTTTTTTCTTATTACCTGGTATTCTTCAATTTTTTTAATATTTACAACATTTTTCCAAGTTTTTCTTTGAGAAAAGAGTATATATAACATCTAAAGTCTTACATAGTTATAATTTTTGTGAGATGAAATATATTGAATAAGATTATATATTTATACAGAAATCTTCAACTCAGTTTGTCATACCTGAATTTAACTGTTTTTTATTTATGACTTTTTCATACATAGTATTACATATATAGTTTATACAAACACACACAGGTTTTATGAAACATCTGAGAAAAATATTTTAAATATCGTTATCAACGGCATATGTAATTATTTCCACTTTACAAGTGTATACTCAATTTAAAACTTAAAAAATGTATTGATTTAATGGAGGTGTTTGTTTAAATATTTA